CTCGTAGCCTGGTGGAGGGGCCTCGTAGCCTGGTGGAGGGGCCTCGTAGCCTGGTGGAGGGGCCTCGTAGCCTGGTGGATAGCGCGCAGGACTCGTAATTCTGTGGCGCGGGTTCGATTCCCGCACGAGGCAGAAACAAATGGGCAAAGTTTCTTTCACCCTATGCCCCTGTTACCTAGCAGTAAATAGGTACCTGGGAGTTAGTCAGCTGTCACGGGCTGCTTCCTGGGGGTGGAGGCCTGGTCGAGGACCGGGCCGCGGGGACACTAAAGCCTCGAAATCATCTCAAGATAACCTCAAGATGGTTGCCACTGAGCTACACTATCAACCAGCGAAAGTAAGATTACTGACGATCTTGTTTAAAGTTTTCAAGTAAATACAATGAGAGCACAAAACACAAATGAGAATGAATAGAAACTAGTTTAAAGAAAAAATAACATGATAAAACCCTAAGGTACTCCATGTCAACCAGGAATAACTAGCTAAATAAAGAAAGGAATATCAAGGTATTTAAAATGAAATCAGAATGTAAAGTGGTGACAAAGAAAACGGCAATTACTAGTATCAATTGTATTCTTTAGACTAATTAAGGTGGGGGAAAGGAGGGGAGGGCTATATTAAATTTTCTGTAGCAGTACTATATATAGCATGAATGCTATACATTTCTTTCATACAATTAGCAGTAATATTTTAATGCAAGGTACTTTAAAAGATTATTCGTAGTGCAGCATTGTGTGTCAATTTTAATTTGTGCTTTGTACGATTCAAAACGAATATACAGTACTCGCATATAATCAAGCACTCGACTCCTGCTACAGCATCTCCCTGTACAGACACACGGCTTGTAACAGATTTGTTTTTTTTTTAAGTTTCGGACATAATGGATGATAGTGGTTTACTAAAGACTTCATAACGCAACATCCTTTGGAATGGCAGTTTTACCAGAACGTTTTGTTCAGTGTAAAATACAGTGATGTCAGATGCATCAAATGTTTTTGTCAATTTTGTAAACCGGCTGGTAACTTTTAAGGAGGAATTTGTAAAGATTGACGACGAAATATTGTATACCCCGAGTATTAATTTAACCATAATTGATTAAACATAATTAAAAACTTATCAAGAATTTGTTGTAATTAATTACATTAATATGTGGAATGCATCAATTTTATTTTAATATTTACTGGACTTAGCCGTGTTTAAATTCTCTCTCTCTCTATTCACTACATTTTATTTGCCTTGTCATTGTTAGCTAGTCCTGAAGGGAGAAGGGGCAAGGGTTTCAAGAAATCCTTAAATAACTGGCTTGTCCCCGAGTAGATAAGATGTTTAGTAGCACCACTGATCAACACGGTTGTAGTTAAGAATTTGAATTACAAAACAAAAAATTTAATAATGAAATGCCAAATTCCAGGTGAACCCTTGTGGCACCCTGAGGCTACAGTACTGATCTAGTACCAAACTACTAGGAGCCATCAGTTGCAGTTTTTTCAGGCCTATCTTGAGGTTATCTTGAGATGATTTCGGGGCTTTTAGTGTCCCCGCGGCTTGGTCCTCGACCAGGCCTCCACCCCCAGGAAGCAGCCCGTGACAGCTGACTAACACCCAGGTACCTATTTTGCTGCTAGGTAACAGGGGCATAGGGTGAAAGAAACTCTGCCCATTGTTTCTCGCCGGCTTACCAAGAAACCAGAACCTAATCCCCTTTAAACCCTCTAAAGAGGTTCAGAGCCTCTCGAGTCTCTCCACCGAGATAAAATTGACCGTGAATTTTAATCATATTTGCCCTCACTGGGGAAGCTCCCACAAAGTCAGCGAAACAAAACAGACCATTGGTGCTTTTAACACATATTCATACTCCAAAAACCAACAACAATTTAAACAAACTATCAAAAATTCATGACAATAGCATAACCTCGTTGCCCCGTCCCCCCACCAGATGGTCAAGCTTGTGCCAATGTCAGCGACAACAGAATTTGAGATAGACATTGTGTACTTGCCTAGCTGTGCTTGTTGCGCTTGCGAGGGTTGAGCTTCGGCTCTTTGGTCCCACTTCTCGACTGTCAATCAACTGGTGTACTCGTTCTTGAGCCTATTGGGCTCGCTATCTATATTTGAAACTTTGCATGAAGTCTCCCTCTACCGCATCACTGCCTAGTGTATTCCATTTAACTACACTGAAACTGAAATAAACTTTAATGTCTTTCTCTTTCCTTTAACCTCTTTCTAAAATTAGAGGTGCAATAGGTACTCGCAGAGAGAGAGAATTTTATCAACATCAGAGGCCCAAGACATACTACTACTATATACAAGGGGCATAACTAGCTGACATCTCAAAAGTGTTCAAGAGAGAACTCAATAAAAAACCCAAAGGATACCTGATCAACTAGGTTGTGATTCGTACATCAGGCTGCGAGCAGCCGTGTCCAACAGCCTGGTTGCCCAGACCATCAACCATGAGGCAAAGTCAGAGACCAGGCCGCAGGGACCTTGAGCCCCGGGAACCAACGCAAGGTAACAGCAAGATAAGGTCTGTGGTTCATTTGAGTACCATACTAAGTTTCCACCTGTCTCTCCTTGTTCGTATATCACCCATGCTACATAGTGTCTTTACCCATCCTGTTGTGCAATTAGAGTTGGGATGTACATTGGCTGCAACATAAGTTGAGATTGGCATTGGACGCAATGGAAACTGGGATGGGCATCGGGTGTAACTGAAGTTAGGATTGAGCAGGAGGAGGTTGGAACCAATTAGTGTGTTCACTTGAGAGTACAAACTGATTATATATATTTTATTCAATAAATGTACAGTTTTGAGGAAAAATAGAATTTTGTAAAATTCTTATCTTGCATAAAACTTTTTTTTTTTTCAAAATAGCTGACTACAGCTTTTTTGTTAGGAAAAATAAAGGATATGAAGGCCAACAATTCTTTATAAATGAATAGGTAACCAATGAACCAGCACCTAAGCATTTGACTTCTTCCAGCAAGTGTTTACATAGTTGTTATTTATGAGAAGTTGGTGACTAGCGATTAAAAACACGTTAAGGGGTACCAAGCTACGCACACGACAACTCTGGGGCTAGATTCACGAAGCAGTTACGCAAGCATTTACGAACCTGTCCATCTTTTCTCAATCTTTTCCGGCTTTGTTTACAATTATTAAACAGTTAATGAGCTCCGAAGCACCAGGAGGCTGTTTATAACAATAACAGTTGATTGGCAAGTTTTCTTGCTTGTAAACTGTAATAAATGTAACCAAAACAGTCAGAGATTGAGGAAAGATGTAAAAGTTTGTAAGCACTTGCGCAACTGCTTCATGAATCTGGCCCCTATTTACTATCAGTCAATATTCACACACACGAGGCACAATAACCGAGCCAAGTACACGCACGATAAGGTTAATAATAAACCCAGTCTAAACTAATTACTGTACAATATTTCTCAAAAATACTTGAAAAGTGGCTGCACAAAATGAAGTTTGTTAGTTTGTGTAGTATTTGTACAGTTTAAGCGTTACTGATACCAAATGATCGGCAATTATCAAAAAGGGAGCAGCGAGCAGTAAGTATATAGCACTATATACATAGCATTATATATGCCACAGTTCATCCCAGATACCAGCCAGTAAGCTGGTGGTACGAAGAACGTGACCAATGGTGGTTGTCGGCAGAACTAAATAATAACCTGCAGCTAAATGATAAATTAAGAACTTTTGTAAAAAAAAAAAAATCACAAAAATATTATAGAAGAACAAATTCGTGACACAGCTGACAAATGATCGTTGATGCAATGGAGACAACGTAAGCATGAAATAGAGCACAAACGACGCAGCAAGTAAACAAGGAGTGTTAAAAGTTGTGCTCGAAAGAGTGGCCGGTATACAATGTAACATCATACATGAGGTAATAAAAGTGTTAGGGTCAAACTGCCAAAGAGTAATTACTCAAACTCCATAAAAGAAACAGCCTTACGAGTACAGACTGATATAGCTTAAAGTAATGCATTAAAGATCTCGAGTACATTTTTTTTTTTCAAATTACTCGCCAGCAAATTTCTATAAAAGAAATAAATAGAATGTCCTGCAACTCTAATCAAATGCTAGATCTTAATAAACTCAAACATTGATGAAGAAGGCTAAAGTACACCAGCTACAACATTTACACATTTGAAAGAGCATTTTAGCTGCACTTTCACATACAATGTAGTAAAATAGAATACTGTTTTTTTTTCTTTGCATATCAAGACACTGTTTGGGAAGTTCCACATAAAAGTATATTCTGGCAGCATTTAAAAAAATACCAAGAAAGGCACAATCAAATGAATGTTGTATTTATAAGGCCACACCAACTCAGACACCCGAACACGTGTTCATGCAAACATGAAGATTTGTAAATACAGAGCTTGAGAGGTGTGTGTTTTGGATGCAAAACCCTGCAACTCTATAGAGCATTTGGGATACTTGCTACTCACCTAATAAGCCGAGGTGCTTCTACATCAGCCACAACGTATATGGAGCATCAAATTCGAAGCAATGATTTACGCAACACACAGCACCACTTAGACTTTGTTCCTTACCCGGACAGAATATTTTGAGGTAGAAAATACCATGAGAGAGCCTTAAAATGTTTACCGAAACTCTCAATGTTGGCTGATGTTTGGGAATGAGATATTTAATAGTGTAATTTGTCTTTCTGAGATCAAAATGAATACTTGCACCCAGTCCACTCACACTTCTAATAATGTATGCCTGTACCATATTTCTCAGGAATGCATATAATTCTTCTGAAAGAATCATCACACAAACAAGTCCTCATATACAAAATTTGTATTCTTTCATATCACCATAAGAGTACACTTACTTAACTAACTTTGAAGAAAACAAAGACATTCCTTCACTAGTTGTCTCATGTTTAAAAGAAGGGACCCAGGAGCTAAAGCTTGCTCCTTGCAGGCGCAACTAGATAATTACTCACACACACACGTTGATTTCCAAATCCAAAGATATACAGGTACTGTAATTAGTACATGCACCCATACACTACAAAAATCATAAAAATCAAGTTTCAAACACTATTAAAGTGTGACGAAGTTAAAGTAGTTGAGACAGCCAATGCAGTATGTCTGAGGAACCATTTCATACAGAAGAAAGCGCACACTCTACATATATTCTGAATTGCCGCAAAAAAGCACAGAAGCCTTGTTTACGTCTGTAAACAGGTCTTACTACAACTTGCTTACAACAGTACTCTCAATATAATATTTTGTATAACAGACATGAACTTGCCTATCTTTACATGGTATCCTTCGAGCAATATTAACATTAAACTCATTTCACGATGTATTGAAGGTATTAGAGACATAGCATCTGCCATACTGGTAATTAAAGAAAATATCATGGCCTTGGAGATAGCAATAAACCTATATTGAGGATTAACCCTACAATATAAGAAAGTGAGAAGAGGCTGCAGTTATTGAGCAGATCTAAACCGAGGAAAATAGGCATCAAGAATGAATGCGAGAGTTGCCACTCCGGCTGCTATTACCATGAACTGACTTCCACCAAGAGTCCCAACTCTCACTCCTACTAACATAAACTGACTTACAGCAAATGCGTCGAAGCCAGGATCAATGCTGCCATCACTGGATACCATTGTTTATTCCTAACTGGCAATACATTACCGCCTTCTTAACAAATACAGCGACAGGTGTCGGTCAAGAGGTCTTGCAGCCCCTTCGTAAGGAGCCGTACTGAAGGTCTGTATTGTAATACTGTGTCTAGCCATTTGACATCCTTACCAAAATTATCTTCCATTAATCCCTATTCAGTATATGTCATGTTTTCTGGTGAATAAATTGTTAAAACTACAAATCTACAATTTACATCTATAAGAGGCACATATTTACAGAGTGGTAATTCTGTTATATCTTTTTATACATAAAATTGTACTAAGTGAAGAGAAAATGGGAATTATCCATTTCCAAAAATATCTATTAAGCTTTAAATTGGCAATTAATTGTGAATCTCGTATGCAACTTCACATAGTGATTTAATATCCTATAACATGCAAGCACATAAGAGCTAGGTAGGATACTTTTATAAAAGGGGTTAGACCTTTATTGAGTGCATGACCACTAGTCATAACTCACAAAAAAATCCCCCCCAAATAAATTAAGGAATCCTTCAATATAATCCACATTAGCTTATCCCAAAAATCCTCCAATATCTCTTAACAATTCATTAAGATATGGATGGAATCCTCAGCTCTCACTTGCCCGAATGATTCCGTGGTTTTGATAAGTTAAGAGGTGCATCTGAAAAATAAAAATAGAATTTTAGTAAATATGTAAATTACACATACAGTATTTATTATGGTTACCACAAAATTATTGAATAAATATCTTTTTTGGACTACTGTATGCACTCGCTTATCCGGATTCCACTTAACCGGATATTTGAGTTATCCGGCCAAAATGGCATCAGGGAAGTCTGGCAAAAATTCGCAATATCCCGATAGTAATCTGGATAACCGGAGATTTTGCCTGATACAGCAGACAGGTATGGGCCCCATACTGTATTAATCCCATACATGTGTGGCTCGAGTCGTGGGGTATGGGAGGTACTGGAGTGGGTGGTTTCAGGGTAGGGGGTGTTGGGAGAGGGGGGGAAAGTTAGGAGGAACTGTCTAAGGGATGAGGGGGGGCCTATAATCTGTATTATATAGAATAATTAAGAATTATTTTAGAACATTTCATCATAGTAAAAAATGAAATAAATATCATCTAATATTATAACAAATACAAATTTCTTGAAAACTATGTGCACAGGCTGAAAAGTGTGGGATTTATTTTCCATCTGGCGGCCTATTTTCCATCAGGAGGCCTGGTTGACGACCGGGCCGCGGGGACGCTAAGCCCCGGAAGCACCTCAAGGTAACCTATGTAAAATGCCTGCCCGCCCGCCCGCCCCAGATCCAGGCCGGGTCGAGCTAAATAGGCCACGTACTCCCGGCCCTCGCCTACTCACAGTGCCGCCCCATTGGCCAGACATTTTCTTAAATAACTTGTTGGTTCTCATAGTAACTTTCATAATTTTTGGCCAAGACTATGTCTGGTAGCAGCAACAATCGCTCTAGAGGTGTTGAAAGGAAGAAGGTTGTGCTAACAATTAAATCAAGTTACGTGTTATAGAACTCTGTGAAGATGGCAGGTCGGCAGTGAGTGTTGCCGAGGAATTTGGCATAGGCATCTTGAGGTTATCTTGAGATGATTTCGGGGCTTAGCGTCCCGCGGCCCGGTCTGCGACCAGGCCTTATTTTCGTTACACACCCCCTGGAAGCAGCCCGTAGCAGCTGTCTAACTCCCAGGTACCTATTTACTGCCATGTAAACAGATCCTTCTGGATGAAAGAAACTGCCCATTTGTTTCTGCCTCCACCGGGGATCGAACCCGGAACCTCAGGACTACGAATCCAAAGCGCTGCCCACTTAGCTGTCAGGCTCCCATTATTACGTACAGGCATTAGTACCGTCTCTGATATAAGGTAACAAAAAGATGAAATACATAGCAACCAGTGAGAGTGAGGGATGTAAGCACAAGTAGAGGGTGTAGTAGGAAAACTTTGAAAGCCTTCACACAATGCACAGTTGGATGAGGCTGTGTACAAGTGCACAAGACAGCACCGCACAGCTGGTGTGACAATTCACAGTGCAGAAATAATACATGCTGCAAATAGGTCTGCAGCCAGCCTTGGAATACAGGATGTCCAGTTAAGCGATGGGTGGATTGCAAGGTTTAAAGTGAATCACAATATTGTGAAGAAAATTGTCAGTGAAAAATTGAGTGGAGATAGTGTTAAATCATTTAAACATAAATTAAGAACATACATTATGTCTAACAATTTATATTATCAAATCTATAATGGTGATGAAACTGGGCTGTATTGGAGGAGTTTGCCTGAAAAAAAAACTTTAGCTCTGAAGAGTGAGAGTAATGTGTCAGGGAGTAAGGTTTACAAGGATAGGCTGTCATGGTGTGCACCTATGTCAACGGAAAACACACACACACACCCATGTGTGTGTAATTGTTGGCAAATCCAAGAAACCAGGAGCTTTGCAACATTGCTTGAACAGTCTGCCTGTGAAATATTATAGCTCAAAGAATGCATGGTTTACACAGATCTTTCTTTTGTGGTCTCAAGGTGTGTTTTACAAGGGAGTTTGTGACCACAATTAAGAAATACAAAGTGAGGGCAAGCAAAGTTTAGGTTTTGCTGTTGCTTGATAATGCACCTGCCCATCCCCTATATTGAGACCTTAACCTCACATATTTGGCAAGATAACATGTATGGCACTTCCTCCTAACATCGCCTCTCTCACCCAGCCTGTGGATCGGGGAATTATCTGTGTCATGACGAGGTTGTACACCAAAAGTATGTTCAACGAAGTTTTGATGGATTTGCCTCTGTAGGAAGCTAAGGAACGTGGTGTGGATAACAGGGTGAAAAGAACCATTGAGAATTTGAACAACTATTCCATCAAGGAAACAATTTATAATCGGAGCAAAGTGTGGAGTGAGGTAAAGGAATCGACTTTGAAGAATTCCTGGAAAAAAATCCTCACGGCTACTGTGCATATTTAGGCATTGGTTAGGTTAGGTGTTTAGGTTCTGTTGGCGATTGTATTTGTAGAATGTGGTTGAAGCATTTACAGCATTGAGGTTCAAACAAAAGTTGTCAGCAAAGCACTTATTCCAAAAGTGTTTGAATGTCATCAGTTGCGAGTCGTGTATAAGCCATTTTTCATTCATAAACAGCTAGGGGTTTGGCAAGTGGATGGAATGGAATTTGGCCTTTGTTTATGAGGACGGGCTGCACAAGAAATCCAAGGATCTTCAACAAATGAAGCTTCACAAGCAAGCTAAGAGTCTTCAAGTAGAGAAGCCTCATAAGCAAGCCACGAGTCTTCAACCAGTGAAGCCTCACAAGCAAGCCAGGTCATGTAAATTTTCAAGCATTCTTAACTTAAAAGAGGTGTGGCATCAGTCAAAACGACGAATTACAACAAGGTAAGCCGAAGTTTCCGTTTTAAATTACAGTACAGTACTGCATTTATATATATTTTTAAGTATAGTGTGTGCGTGTGGAAATTAAAATTACTTTCAATGTGATACAACATTTTTTTAATAATGACCAACCAATTTCTTGTCAATTGACCAAATTGACAAAGGGGAATTCCTGAAACCAGCAACTTCAAGAACAAGAGGACACCGATTCAAGCTAAGGAAATAAAGGTGCCGGAAAAATATTAGAAATTTTCTATCACAAACAGAGTGGTAGACAGTTGGACCAAGTTAAGTGAGGTGTTGGAGGCCAAAACCATCAGTAGTTTCAAAGCATCATACGACAAAGAGTACTGGGAAGACGGGACACCACAAGCGTAGCTCTCATGCCATGACTACACTTAAATAATTACCGATTGATAAGCACCACTCTTAACCTTAAACTGATCCAGTCACCCTCAAACAATAGAAAAGCCTTTATCAATCGCCTTTGGGGGGGGGGGACTAATTGTGCCCTGTAATTTTAAAATGTCCTTCCGATTCAAGATGTCATTCGACGCAGGAGACCTCAGGCTATCATTTGCCATATTGGATAAAAGTCTAGAAAGCCTTAGTTTTCTTCCTAGGTCTTCCTACAAATATGGGTATAATGTCTATTGCATCACCACCCATTAGCTAATACCAATGCTAGGAACCAATGATGCCATGCAAAATTGCAAGGAATTGAAAAAAATCTTAGTGATAAGGAGGAATCTGTAACAAGTTAATTTCCCAGAAAATTATGATATCAGAAATATGATATCAACATTTCTTCCACTCATTATGGTCAAACTCAAATTATTACAATTTTGTTTGTGTTTTTCCCGGTGCCTTACCATACAGAAAGAATTTTTTTTGTTTAATGCACACCAGGAAATCCACCGATTTCAGGGGTAAAGAAGGGATTAATGCACACCAGGAAATCCACCGATTTAGGGGGGTAAAGAAGGGATTAATGCACACCAGGAAATCCATTAATTTAAGGGGTAAAGAAGGGATTAATGCACTACCAAACCAGACCACAGAAGAACAACTAATTCTTGCTTTAGGAAGTTATCAAGTGGAATAATTAATATTATTCAATTAGGAATCCATAATAATCCAGAAATAATCATTTATCCTGGAATAATCCAAATCCATGAATAATCCAGGAATAATAATGTATTCTGCAAATACCAAATGGAGTTATTTCAGGAGATACTGTAATAAATAGCCTTCAGGAGATACAGTAATCACATACATAAACAAAATAAACAACTAGATTGTCAGACCCGGGTGAACTGGATGATAAGGCCTTCGGAGAAAGTGTAAACATACGATTACCTACCTTGTGGAGGTGGAGATGGTAGTGGGGAAGATAATGGCCTGTGTGGTGAGAGCGGATGCACAGATGGTGGTGGCTGCCACGGTGACGAAGCTCCACGAGGGCTGGCCCCTCTACTCATGTGAGGAGACGCGGGTGTACTAGAGACCTGGGGCTTTGGACTTGAGCTATGAGATATGGCATGTGGGGAGGACCGTGACGACTGGCTTTGGGGCCGAAGAAGTTGGGCTGCTATGGACGTTGGCGGTGAATATCCACCAGATAAACTCCCAGATAAGAGGTGCTGGTATTGTGACCCAGGCAAAGATGGAGGCAAGTGTCCTAACTGGTATGTACCAAGGCCTGCTGCAGCAGCTGCAGCAGTTGCAGCGGCAGCAGTTGCCGCAGCAACAGCTTGTGCCATCTCTGTGTGCTGGGAAGACATAGAGGGAACTAATCCTGGAGCAAGAGAGTGAAGCATCATGTACCGAGGATCCACATATGGGTGCAAGCTATATAAACTTGCCATGTGTCCATAACGTGTCAAGTCGTACCGTTCCGTCGAGAGCCTGCCGAGATCAACGAGTGGGTCTGTCCTTTCTATTTGACTTGCATTTAGTTGCTCCAGCCTCTCGGAAACACTTCTATCTGTTCGTTCCTGTCTCTCTACCTTAACTGTACTCGTTAACACATCACTACTAATACGTTCTCTTACAACACTAGATTTGCATTGAGTACCACTGGGTTTCAGTTCAGGTTTTAATAAAGTTCTAAGGAAGGAATCATTCTTTCTATTGGCAGTTTCATTGTTTAAAATTGATTCGATGCTATATACCGAGGGTGTTAGTGAATTAATGGCACTTCTGTTGGGCTGAGAATGAGGCTGATTTGAGGAAGATGAGTTCTCACCGGGGTTGTGTGACACACTATTGACTCCAGAATGTAGCTTTTTACGATGTATAGATTCTTGATCAGTTTCCATCTGTCGTAGATACCTTTTTCTAGGAGACACGAAAGTTGGATCAACCGCATCAGCACTTATAATGGGTTTCTCAAACAGCACTTGAATGGAAGTTGTGGTATCTAGTTTTAAACCAACTTTTAGTCCCAACAAGAGAACCCGCGTCTCTAGTTTGCATTTTTTCTCCTCAAGTGCACTTTGGTTATCCTCAGATTTAACAGTTCTACACGAGTCTTTTATCTTCTCACAAGGCTCCCAAGAACCTGTTGGACCATTCACATATATGAAAGGGTTGCGTCTAAATCTAATTTTTTTCCTTATGTCTCGGGCACGCGGCAATGCATGCCAGTGAAACGAAGCTGTCTGCAACACAAAGCCTTTGTTACGTCGTGGCGTCAATTGCTTCCTCAGATGCTCACCCGTCCAAGGAGAAGAATTCAACGATGAACAGTCATCTGAAACTAAAAAATTAAATTAATATTATACTAGATATGTGGTGCTTCCTTGTAAGAACAACTTCATGGATAAATATGCCAGAATTTTTAAATTAAGAACAACAATTTATAATCATGTTTGTAGTTAATAATAACTTCAACCTCAATAAGCAAGAATAATATAAATAATGTTTCAACTATTTACTGGTACCACAATGACCAACCTTATTAAAATAATACCTGGACCATACCTGTAGTGTATTTCTGGAGTAGTTCTACTTTATGTCTTATCTCTTTCTTACCTTTGACTTTCTAATTTTAAATGATTGCCAAGGCATCTGTCTACAGAGGCCTCGTAGCCTCGTGGATAGCGCGCAGGACTCGTAATTCTGTGGCGCGGGTTCGATTCCCGCACGAGGCAGAAACAAATGGGCAAAGTTTCTTTCACCCTGAATGCCCCTGTTACCTAGCAGTAAATAGGTACCTGGGTGTTAGTCAGTTGTCACAGGCTGCTTCCTGGGGGTGGAGGCCTGGTCGAGGACCGGGCCGCGGGGACACTAAAGCCCCGAAATCATCTCAAGATAACTCAAGATAAGAAGGCTAACATTATTCTTTCTAGGAATGATAAAGCTGTTGATATCCAGCAACTGGTGACTGAAAACAAGCGGTTAATGTAATGAAACGCCTCCTTTTAGTTCGGCCTCGGTGGATCTCTGAACTTAGCTCACCGAGGTAGCGGCATAAGAGACGTCAATCCTAGGAGTCCACATTGCCTATCAGAGACCCGAGCCAAAACCTGGCCCCGCCTCAGAGAGACGCAGGGGGCAGGGAATAGGCAGTTCCATGGGAGGCGGTCGGCTGAGCGGACAGCACACTGGACTTATGATCCTGTGGTCCCGGGTTTGATCCCGGGCGCCGGCGAGAAACAATGGGCAGAGTTTCTTTCACCCTATGCCCCTGTTACCTAGCAGTAAAATAGGTACCTGGGTGATAGTCAGCTGTCACGGGCTGCTTCCTGGGGGTGGAGGCCTGGTCGAGGACCAGGCCGCGGGGACACTAAGAAAAAAAGCCCCAAAATCATCTCAAGATAAGAAGATGGGGTTTATAACCCTTTGGGTGAAAAAGCATCTGTTTCCTATCCTACACTGTGGCTTGTTGAGGCTGAAGTTGTTGCCCCTTTGTGTTACATCTCATCTTTGAAAAAAGTGATCTAGATTAACATCCTCCAAATTGTTCGGTATTTCAAAAGTTTCAATGACATCAGCCCTGTCATACCTGGTTTGCTGTGGTGTTAGCCCTGTGGCCCTCAACCATTCCTGGTATGAGAGTCAACTTAGCTCCGGGGTGACTTTTGTCACCCGGTGTTGAACTTTCTCCAAAGCAGATATGTCCTATATGTGCTATATCACAACTTAATTTTCTAGGGGCTTTATAGGCTTTAAAAATTACTCCTTTCAAGTTCAAGTAATAAAAGCTTCAAGTCAGTTCATAAATTAATAAGCAAAGGAAGTTCTCAAGGTATCACCCTGTATGCTAAACCACAAAAAGAAAATATACTGTACCAGAGATACACATTGCAATAAATACCTCTTAAAGCATATATCAAGTTTTCTAATGGTAATGGACATGACTAAAATTTACGTAGAGTCGCGATTACTGTATCACACACCAGACTGTGACGTGGGAGTGTCGTGTCGCAACGGATGCTGCGTAGTAGTAGTAGTGGTGGCAGATGATGGCGGTGGCCAGTAAGTCTTGCTCTTCACCGGTACCCACCCAGCAGGAGCGCCCATATCTGTTCGATGAGATAACTCCAGTAGGAATTTGCCCTCTGAAAAAATGAAAATAAAGATTAGAGCATTAAATGAAATAAAACAAACAAACCCCCCACCCTCCCCGGGCAACACCTCAGTAGCTCCTTTATCCTCATCTTGTTCCCTCTATGGGTAGGAAGTACACGATAACCTATGCAAATCCCCTGAAAAATCAAATCATAAAACACTCGACCTCCCTCTCAGAAATGTTTGCCGATTCTCAAAATGTCAAACCAAACTTCGTAATGAGCTATTAACATGTAATATGCCTCACTCGGGGCTTGCGTCCATCTCGCTGTTCGGCCCAAATGAATTATGCGTGATAAGAGAAGGACAGGATATACGAGGTGGGTGTGGGAAGCTAATGGGGTGCCACCCTGAAAGTGGCATCCCATTACTCACCGTTCTATTTCCGGGTTGGACACGTCAGTTGCCTTCCCTGGCTATTCCTTTAGAGACCAAGCAACTCTTAACACGTTGTATCTATGTGTCAAAGATGATGTTCATTATGCATAACTTTGAAATCATACAAATATACAGATACACTATATGTGTATAAATATATACACACATTTATATTTTTGTTTGTACTATTTATTTAATTTCTGTGATGTGAAAGAGTACTGCTGTTATACCGGGCCGATGGAATGCGGCACACTTATCATTAATTAAATAAAAAAATTGCCGCATTGGCCTTTGCAGTGTGAATATTGTACAGGAGTGAAGGGATACTCAAGCAAAAATTAGAACAATTTACTCTAATATCATAATAAACAAATAACATATGAAAAACCCACAAACCCCCTGACACACTTGGCTAACATGGAAGCAATAATAGTATCACAAATACATGTACAAACTTACGTTAACACAAAAATAAGGGCGACACTGAAAGCATTTACATATATCATTACAACCTGTACACGAAGCAGCTGGAGGCAAGCGTCGTGTTGAGGCAGTAATGTTGATTCCCCGAGTACCTGGTAGAGACCCACGAATTTACCGAGGTCATTGGGTATTTAAACACCTCATTGTGACGCCACATCCTTTGTTACCGAGGCTTGGAACTAGGAACCGGTGGCATAACTGGCAGTTCATAAACGTAACGAAGCACTGGCGAGTCTTGCACCTGCCTGGGGCTCTCGGGTTGGGTGGAGGGTGTACTGGGTGGAGATGTCCAGACATTCATCTGCAACTGGGTTGAACGCCATACTGGTCGTACTATGAGGTATGTAGAGTAGTGAATAACGAAGGTAAGATGGAAGAGGCAGTTTCCTCTGCTATGCTGGGGATTTATGTGGTAAAATTATATATACAGGATATATATACTATATATATTTTCAAGATGGGGGATGGTTACTGGAGGCCTGAGGAAGCAAATGTGAGCCCCCCCCCCCTCTTATATGCATGGAAGTTTCGAATCTTATGATATACAGTACTAACATCATCACATATCTGCTGGCACACCATCACACCCCTTAATATGTCAGCTGGTGCAATGCAGGGGTTAAAGGTATGTTTTTGTTCTTAAAGTGGGGCTGCGGCGTCGTGGTCGATTAGATCCCCTAGTTAGCCCCATTGCTACAGGTATCGGAGTTGTGGGTGTCTATTTACTCTGCCTTTACAACATGCACACCACCTCGCAATCCCACTAGGGGTGTGGTTCGTCCTGCATCTGTTCAGCACATTTCCTGGTCTCAGCTATGTTGCATCTGAAAGTTTCTGAGTTGGGAAGGTTTTTTTTCCACTGGGGCTGTTTCATACATCATAGTTTAATGATAAAACTTCAGACTTCATTTTGTATTAATACTGGTATATCAAGTGGTATTGAACGTAGTGTCCATTCCAGTGACATTTTACACAATGGCTCCGCTTTCAATTCATGACTTAAGCTTTGTAATAAGCCTAATATACCTTAAGCACTTTTTTTTAGTTCACAGAGAACATAAACAAGTCTTAAACGACTGGTGACTGACAACTTTATCCTTTTGCTTACACCAAGGACAGATATGCACATAATGTGGAATAATGAAAAATTTGACTAAAAAATAAACCAAACCACACAACTTGTTGACCAATCCACACACTAGAAAATGAAGGGACGACAACGTTTTGGTCTGTCCTGGACCATTCTCAAGTCGATCAAGTCGATCACACAACTTATAAGTTATGTGAAAAGTCATTAAAGAGCTCTGACAGAGAGAGATCTAGGGTATAGTTCTGGATTAGGTAGTCACCTGTGGAATTTATGAAGATTATTGGGTAAGAAGCCTTACCTTGAGGTGTTTTCGGGCTTAGCGTCCTCGTGGCCCCGTCAACGACCAGGCCTGGTTGCTGGACTGGTCAACCAGGCTGTTGGGCACAGCTGCGTAAGATAGCAAAGGTAGCCTTTGCTATCCTTTCCAATTTCAGAATTACTTTTAAATACAGTACATAAACAGCGATATATTAAAGAAACTGTTCACAGCTTTTCTACGACCAAAACTGAATATGCAGCAGTTGTATGGTGCCCATATCTCAAGCAGCACATCAATGGTTCAGCGAGACCATAGAGCCGAAGCTCAAACCTACAAAATGCTACAGAATGATTTCTGGAACTGAAAAGCAAGAGCTACAAGGAGAAGCTAACGACATTATATATGCCAAAGCTAGAAGAGAAGACATGTTCACTACATATAAAATAGTAACAGTAATTGACAAAACTGACAGAGAAATTCTTGAAACCTATAACCTCAAGAACAAGAGGTCGTAGAGGAAACAAAGGTGCTGAAAAAATTAACAGAATGCTTTCTTTTGCAGAGTGGTAGATGGAACAAGTTAAGAGAGGAAGCGGTGGATGCCAAAACCGTCAGTAGTTTCAAAGTGTCACGTGACAGACCAGAGGAAAGACCCGACACATACCCGGATTACCCGAAAGTCCAGGTAGGCTCCAGGCTCCAGCACCTTGGGAGCCGGTTGGCCGAGCGGACAGCACACTGGACTTGTGATCCTGTGGTCCCGGGTTCGATCCCGGGCGCCGGCGAGAAACAATGGGCAGAGCTTCTTTCACCCTATGCCCCTGTTACTTAGCAGTAAAATAGGTACCTGGGTGTTAGTCAGCTGTCACGGGCTGCTTCCTGGGGGTGGAGGCCTGGTCGAGGACCGGGCCGCGGGGACACTAAAGCCCCGAAATCATCTCAAGATAACATCTCAAGATAACCTTTTGTACTAAATAACGGAGTAAATATTTTAATAACACTTGGAGAAACGAATTAACATTATTAGTTAATAATATTATTACTAATTAATATTAATTAACGAATTAACAAATTAATGGAATAATAGCCAACACCGACAATTTTTTTTTTGTAATTCCTGTACAAGGCTGGCCTGGGGCCAGGTTTGTCTTGTGATTACTTGATCTAGAAGGTTGTTGCTTCCGGCATCCTGCAGACCCACATATCTATTACAATCCACCTGGTTCAGAATAATTATTGCACATATGCCCTACATTCCTGTACCATTTTATAAAAGTGTTTTCCTTCTCAATTCATTCCATAATTTTTACAATGAATCTACTAATGTACAAATTTAAGAACTATTCATATATTGCATTCAAGAAATTCCTCCCGTCAAAATATGGAAGACGATTACGGCTAAAGAATAATCGTGTCTGGCACCCGAGTCTTACCTTTGAAGAACGTTAACCTGCCGCCGGTAGTGGTGGTAGTGGTGGTGGTAGTCGTGGTGGTGGTGGTAGTCGCAGTAGTCCCCGTAACAACCTTGCCTTCCTCGCCGCCGGTGCCGGTGGGTCGGGGCAACGCCCCCTTGGCGCTGCTGCTGGGTATGGGGGTCCCGGGCTTGCCCTTCACCTCCGCCCCGGGGCCGGTGCTCGGAGGCGACCCTAGGGGCCGGGGCGAGGGCGCGTGACCCCCCAAGAGCGGCACGGGACTCTCGCACTTAATCTTAGTCTGTGAGGGAGAGGTGACAGCACTGCTTGGGGGCGAGGGAGGGGAGGAAGGAGAGTTGGGGGAGAGGGACCTCTTCTCCATCATGCCCAACCCCCCTCCCCCCTCCAGCCCTGCCTTACTCATCCTCACACACACATCCGGGCTCGACACCTCCGTCTTGTTCTTCATGGTACAAATCTCCCCCCTCTAATGGATCTCAGACATCTTGAGACATCTTTGAGACATCTTCATCTCAACGTCGTGGATGCTGACCGCTTCACTTCCCCTTCCAAGACCTGGCATTCTTCTCCTCTACCGCGCTCCGGAGCCCCATTTTAACACTTATTCTCACGCCGAAATGTCTCCCCGAGCCTCACACTCCTCGACATCCTCACACCAAGTCCCCAGAGTCGCGCTTTGTGGCCGAGAATCACCGTAGAAATTTGTTAGTGTACACTGCCATAGCTCAAAACATTTCTTTCATATTTTGTTCCGTTTCCCCCGTGCCTGTGTCCCGGTGCAGGCAAGCTTGCTGCTGCCTCCTTCTCTTAAGTCTCTCACGCCCACACGCCCGCCCTTATTAATACACGCCGCAGCGACTCGTGATATTAACCCAGCTGGCGGCCATAGACAAAGCCAGGGAAAAAATTTTCACACTCTATGCACTGATAACTTTTCTAGTTCAGGAGCATAACAGTATGACGCGCGCGGCCGTACAAATCTGGATTGAAATGCGTTAATTGCTAAAATGTTATGTTATTTAGCGATTTATATTTATTCAACGCATAAATCTTTGTTAATATATTTAAATAAGTTATGTGAAATAAAACTATTATCAGGTTATGAAGCATATAGGACCATTAGACCTGTTGTGATTATAGAATAAACGGAATGTATCTTAAATGATTGATATTTTATCAAATAAACACCAATGTAAATTATTTATTGTTTTAGTTGTGTCCAATAAAGAAAGGCATAAGTTAGGACATAATAATAATAATAATAATTTTTATTTAGGTAAGGTACATACATACAATAAATTTTTACAAAGATTGGTTGACTTATAGGTAGAGCTAGTACATACAATGCCTAAAGCCACTATTACGCAAAGCGTTTCGGGCATTATAATAATAATAATTATTATTATTGCCCGAAGCGCTATGCTTACTAGTAGCTTGATGTATTTGTATGTACTAGCTCTATCTTTAAATTCCAACATTATGTATATATCTCATCTTCAATATATATATATATATAACTGAAAACTCACACCCCAGAAGTGACTCGAACCCATACTCCCAGAAGCAACGCAACTGGGAGTATGGGTTCGAGTCACTTCTGGGGTGTGAGTTTTCAGTTGCATATTGTCCTGGGGACCATTCAGGCTTGTTCGCATATATATATATATATATATATATATATATATATATATATATATATATATATATATATATATATATATATATATATATCAAATAAACAATATATATATATATATATATATATATATATATATATATACTGGAGATCTGTGGAGGTGCGACTGCACCCACTAAGGAGAAGATTGATTGATGAAGATTAAGCCACCCAAGAGGTGGCACGGGCATGAATAGCCCGTAAGTGGTGGCCATTTCGAGCCATTACCAGTATCAAGAGCTGATACTGGAGATCTGTGGAGGCGCGACTGCACCCTGCGTGACGGGAGATGTCTCCCGGACCAAGTGGTGACCAAATGGTGTAAGGAGAAGATGATGATGAAGATTAAGCCACCCAAAAGGTGGCACGGGCATGAATAGCCCGTAAGTGGTGGCCATTTTAAGCCATTACCAGTATCAAGAGCTGATACTGGAGATCTGTGGAGGTGCGTCTGCACCCAGCGTGACGGGAGATGTCTCCCGTGTTTTAAACAGATGAAGAAGATGAAGATGAAGCCACCCAAAAGATGGCACGGGCATGAATAGCTCGTAAGTGGTGGCCCTTTCGAGCCATCACCAGTATCAAGAGCTGATACTGGAGATCTGTGGAGGTGCAAGTGCACTCTGCGTGACGGGAGATGTCTCCCATGAATGTGTCCAAGATGACGATTAAACCATCGAAAAGGTGGCACGGGCATGAATAGCCCGTAAGTGGTGGCCCTTTTGAGCCATTACCAGTATCAAGAGTTGATACTGGAGATCTGTCGAGGTGCAACTGCACCCTGCGTGACGGGAGATGTCTCCCGGACCAAGTGTGTGGTCCAGAGTATGGAAGAGAAACAGAACGTTCACCAGAGACGTCCACCAGTTGAACGTGTCAAGATAACTCTTACTGGCTGATTGATTGATTGATGAAGATGAAGCCACCCAAAAGGTGGCACGGGCATGAATAGCCCGTAAGTGGTGGCCCTTTTAAGCCATTACCAGTATCAAGAGCTGATACTGGAGATCTGTGGAGGTGCGAATGCACCCTGCATGACGGGAGATGTCTCCCTTTTGAATGTGTTAAGATGAAGCCGCCCAAAAGGTGGCACAGGCATGAATAGCTCGTAAGTGGTGGCCCTTTTGAGCCATTACCAGTATCTATAGATGATACTGGAGATCTGTGGAGGTGCGAATGCACCCTGCATGACGGGAGATGTCTCCCTTATGAATGTGTTAAGATGAAGATGAAGCAACCCAAAAGGTGGCACGGGCATAAATAGCCCGTAAGTGGTGGCCATTTTTAAGCCATTACCAGTATCAGGAGCTGATACTGGAGATCTGTGGAGGTGCGACTGCACCCTGCGTGACGGGAGATGTCTCCCTTGTGAATGTGTTAAGATGAAGATGAAGCCACCCAAAAGGTGGCACGGGCATGAATAGCTCGTAAGTGGTGGCCCTTTTGATCCATTACCAGTATCAATAGATGATACTGGAGATACTGGAAAAACTATCTGGTCTTTGTTGCACGGCCATAAGCACAAAATATCATAGTTTTTCTTAATGAACTCAATTCTTTGGTACCTTCAATAAAATTCACTTGTGAAACTGAGGAAAATGGTACTCTTCCGTTTTTGGACATTATGATTCATAGAGTCACTAGAAAGTTCAAATTTAATGTGTATAGGAAACCTACCAACGTGGGGTCGTATGTTCATTTTTATTCGAATCATCATAGTAAAGTTAAACAGGCAGTATTTTCAGGAATGTTTCTACGAGCTTTGAGGATTTGCAGCCCTGAGTTTTTTGATGAAGATATTGCTAAAATATATGAAATTGGGAAGAGTTTACAATATCCTAAGAGGTTTTTGGATTTCTCGTTTGTACAAGCCAAGCGTACGTTTTATAATCACGTCCCTAAGGCGAAACCAAAAATTATTAACTCATTGGTGGTACCTTATGCGAGTGGACTTGAAAAATTGTCTCTGATTTTTAAGAAACTTAATATAAATTTGGTGTTTACTAATAGTACGATCAAATCCAATTTAATAAAAAACTCCCCTGATACAGCAGGTTGTGTGTATTCGATTCCCTGCAATGATTGTGATTCTGTGTACCTTGGACAAACAGGAAAGTCCTTACAATTGCGGTTGTCACAACATGCTTATAGTATTAGAACTGCCCAAACGTCTAATGCATTGTATCTACATACGAGTTTATGCGATCACAATATTAACTGGAATGGGGCAAAAAGCATTACCAATTGTGGGGATTTCGTGGAACGGAATTTGATTGAGTCTGCTCTAATCAGTCAGTGTCCAAATCTTCTTAATGTTAGTACTGGAATGTACAAACTTGATCCATTTTTAAGTTATAATATTGCACAACAGTTTAAGAAACAACTCTGATAGAGAGGCTTACAATGTCTCATTATAATTGTATATTCATATATTGTGTGTTCATGAGGCTTTTCTTTAATCTTTCATCCTTATTCTCTGACCGCTTAATCCTCTTTGACCATTCTAAGCTAAGCTATACCTTTTTTGGTTAATTACACCTGACCAACCCTAGGGATGGGTTGGTCAGGTGTCGGCCTATATATCCTCCCCTTCTCCCTTCTCCTTAGTCAGTCTGGTGTTGACAAAGGCTTTAACAAAGCCGAAACGTTCACCTCATTTCATATTTCTCTGGATTTTCCGCATATATATATATATATCTTGATCCGGATTAAAAAGAAATCTAAATCTAATTCTAATCTTGTAATTAGAGGTAGTTTTCATACTGTGTTCCGTTCCGGCGTTGTGGTGTCCAGCGAGCAGAGTGACAGCAGCCATCATGGCGGAAGGACGAGTGCGACGCGTTATTCCCGAAGATCTTTCCAATGTCGAGTTTGAGACGAGCGAGGAGGTGCAGGTGGTGCCCACCTTCGACTCCATGGGCCTCAGGGAGGACCTGCTCAGAGGAATCTACGCCTACGGTAAAAATATCTCCCCCCCACCGAGAGCGGTCCAGACATTTGTTGTGATTCCTTCCCGCGAAAAAAGTTGTTTTGATTTGTTGATTTATGTTATGAAGCTTCGTGTTGGCGCGAGAGGCTTCAGAAGGTGGAGAAGATGGTGTTAAGAGCCGCAGGAAGAAGCAGGGGCAAGGTGAAGAAGGTATAGAAGGGTAGAAAGTGGGGGATATAACCTTGGTCAAGGCTCGCAAGGTCGCCTGCTCTCACATGCACCTTTTACCTGGATTTACCTTTTCCGGTTGTAATTTAAAGCAAGTTGGGAATGAAGAGTTGCTAGCCAGTTAGGGAAGGATATGTAGCGGGATTTGACCAGTGAGGAACAGTGCAGTAGGCCTACTGGCTCATACGACGGCCTATTTAGAGTCAACCATGTGTTTAGACTATAATGGAAGCTGCTACTTGATTTCATTCTGTAAGGCCAGGCAAGGTCTTGGCCAGGCAAGGTCTTGGCCAGGCCCGGCAAGATCTTGGTTGGAGGCTTTGGAAGAAATTTGTAATGTGTTGAATGATAAGATTCATTCTAGTTTATACCCTTATGTAATTTGTGGTCAAAATTCAATAAGATAATGCATGTGAGGCCATAATGTTTGTGTTGGTCTCGTATTTTTATTTCCCTATATAATTCTTGTGAGGACGAGGAAGGCTGTATTGTAGTGTACTTATCAAAGGGCTCCCAGGCTAATTGTTGATCTTCCCTCAGGCTGTAGCTTACAGCTCTTGGCTGACTCCGGGGTGTAATTTTACTGTTAGGGTGAACAAATGCATCAGGTGAAAGGAAATTTGCCAGACTCGCTTTTGTTGTGCCTTGGGATTGAATCTGGGTTGCTCTGTTGCAAACCGAGGGCCTGGATCGCTGTGCTTCAGGGCTCTCTGTCTCGGACATTAAACTCACTCTCCTATGGTTATTTTTGCGCAGTTTGCACGTTTGATCACCGGTTCCGTATCTTGTCCCAACCACTTGGGGTGGACGGTAGAGCGACGGTCTCGCTTCGTGCAGGTCGACGTTCAATCCCCCGAGACCGTCCACAAGTGGTTGGGCACCATTCCTTTCCCCTGTCCCATCCCAAATCCTTTTCCTGACCCCTTCTCAGTGCCATATAGTCGTAATGGCTTCGTGCTTTCCCCTGATAGTTCCCTTCCACTTCTTGTCAACCTCCATTTTTGTCTTACTTGCTCTGGTATGCCTCTGATGACCTGGAGGCCAGATTCACGAAGCAGTTACGCAAGCACTTACGAACCTGCGAACCTGGGGCCAGATTCACGAAGCAGTTACGCAAGCACTTACGAACCTGCGAACCTGGGGCCAGATTCACGAAGCAGTTACGCAAGCACTTACGAACCTGTCCATCTTTTCTCAATCTTTGGCGGCTTTGTTTACAATTATTAAACAGTTAATGAGCTCCGAAGCACCAGGAGGCTGTTTATAACAATAACAACAGTTGATTGGCAAGTTTTCATGCTTGTAAACTGTTTAATAAATGTAACCAAAGCCGTCAAAGATTGAGGAAAGACGTACACGTTCGTAAGTACTTGCCTAACTGCTTCGTGAATCTGGCCCCTGATTTTGTTACCAATCTAGTCAAAGTTGACTGTTCCTGAAGGTTCATAAGATTCAGATTTCAGATTCAGATGTTTATTCAGGTAAGGTATATACATACAAGTGATGTTACATTAATGGATTGATATATAGATAGAGCTAGTACATACAATGCCTAAAGCCACTATTACGCAATGCGTTTCGGGCAAAAACTGTTGACTGGTTTAACTGATGAGTATTGTTAAACTTAAATATAGTATTTGCTTCAATTACCTATGGGCAATTAAATTATATTAATATTTTTATATTATATTTACTTATTGCATATAAATAAGTTGGAATGTGTGTCATATTTTGTATTAGTCGTACCGTAGTAGGGAGCCAAGCGGACAGCACGCTGGACTTGTGATCCTGTGGTCCCGGGGTCGATCCCAGGCGCCGGTGAGAAACAATGGGCAGAGTTTCTTTCACCCTATGCCCCTGTTACCTAGCAGTAAAATAGGTACCTGGGTGTTAGTCAGCTGTCATGGGCTGCTTCCTGGGGGTGGAGGCCTGGTCGAGGACCGGGCCGCGGGGACACTAAAAGCCCCGAAATCATCTCAAGATAACCTCAAGATAGTACGCAAGATGTCTCAAGTCAATTTGAACTGTCGATTTGTACAATCCAAACTCTGTACTCTGCAGAGAGGTATCCAATTCTTGTAAAGCATACTGTCATTTTCAACTTGTGACCCAGCGTAATGGGAAAGCGAGTCATCATTACACTCGACAAACCTGGGTTACTATAGGAATTGTTTGCAAGCTTTGAGACGATGAGAAGCATTGTTGCAGGTTCTAACGTCTGAAAGTATTAGGCTTAGTAGTATTGCCCGAAACGCTTTGCGTAATAGTGGCTTTAGGCATTGTATGTACTAGCTCTATCTATAAATCCATCAATCTTTGTAAAATCTCTTGTATGTATGTACCTTACCTAAATAAACATTTATTTATTTAATTATTGTCGGCAAATACTTTGGTGTCATTATTGGCCAGAATTTGTCTGGACAACTCTAATTTTGATCAAAATATTGAGTGTTTATTTTTATTAGTGATGTAGAAGTGCTTCAAAAGTTTAGTTTAATGGTATTCAATTATTTTAATAAATTAAACATTGTTGTGTGTTCTGAAAAAAATTTAAGTGACATTATATTCATTCTTTGCAGGATTTGAGAAACCGTCGGCCATTCAACAACGTGCTATTCGTCCAATCATAAAGGGGCGTGATGTTATAGCTCAGGCTCAATCTGGCACTGGTAAAACGGCTACGTTCTCGATATCCATCCTTCAGATTTTGGACATAAATGTTCGCGAGACCCAGGTCCTCACGCTGTCTCCAACTAGGGAGTTGGCTGTTCAGATTCAGAAAGTGAGTCACGATTTCTTAACTATTGAACTTCACATCATTTGGGTATTCCTGTTGAAATACAGGGCACTTGTTTTGTAAATTATGTACCTTATTTCGGGATAAATTGTGTACCTTATTTCGGGATAAATTATGTACCTTATTTCGGGATAAATTATGTACCTTATTTCGGGATAAATTATGTACCTTATTTCGGGATAAATTATGTACTGTACCTTATTTCGGGATAAATTATGTACCTTATTTCGGGATCAATTATGTACCTTATTTCGGGATCAATTATGTACCTTATTTCGGGATCAATTATGTACCTTATTTCGGGAAGGGCGAGGCTTCTGGACCCAGATTGGTCTCGCCCTCCATCTTCTGACCCACAGCCGTTGACCTTTGACCTGAAGTCGTGGTCATCTTCGCATTTGAAGGACAAACATCACCTTAATTCTGAAAGACTTGGAGCCTTCCATTACAAAGTTCTCAACAGGGACCAGAATTTCAAATGTGCGAAGACGACCAAATGACGACATGAATAATTCTTGTTGCTAAATTTTGTTCTATTATAATTCCTTTTTAGTAGTACAGTACATATTTGTTATACTGTACACCCAAAACAAATAGTTCAATATTTACTGCGATAAGGGAGCCGGCGACTGAGTGGACAGAACACTGGAAGCGTGATCCTGTGGTCCTGGATTCGATCCTGGGCGCCGGCAAAAACAATAGGCAGAGTTTCTTTCACCCCTGATGCCCCTGTTACCGAACAGTAAATAGGTACCTGGGAGTTAGTCAGCTGTCTCGGGCTGCTTCCTGGGGGTGGAGGCCTGGTGGAGGACCGGGCCGCGGGGACACTAAAAAGCCCCGAAATCATCTCAAGATAGTGATAATTTGTTCTTGAACAGATTATTTATGTAGACAATCTTATGACAAGGTATTTATAATGGCTTATATTTTCAGGTTGTACTTGCACTTGGGGACTACATGAGTGTGCAGTGTCATGCGTGCATCGGAGGAACGAACCTTGGGGAAGATATTCGCAAGCTGGACTACGGGCAGCACGTAGTGTCTGGTACTCCCGGCAGAGTGTTTGACATGATCAGACGTCGCACACTCAGAACACGATCTATAAAGGTTGTTACTCTAATGCAACTCTTAAGCCTAATTATATATAAAATTTTAGATCTAATTCTGTGTATAATTTTTGCTTGACTAGGCCTAGGAAGGTTTAGGCTTGGTTGTTCCCATTTTTCTCTGGTCCTCAACAAAATGAATGTATGTTCTAAATGGCCAATTTTTGTCAGGGTCCATAGTAGCTACACGTACCATCATTCTTGGATGACTGGTTGACTAAATTGGCATCAACTGCCTCTTCGAGTTTATTCCATGTGTTAATATTAACACTGAAGGACTACTTTAGGTCTCTGGGGTTCATTTGTGTTTTCAGTTTCCACCTGTCTCGTAGTCCTCTTCTCTGGAATAATGTCCTTTTTTCAATTTTCTCTTGATATCTTGTATGACGTAACCAAGTCTCTTGTCAATCATCTTTGCTACATTGTTAGTAGGTTCACCTCTTAGAGCCTTCTCTCATCAAATATCTCGTTTCCAATGCTTTCCTATCAGTCACTTAAGGGAATGAGACCTAGTTCATTGTGCTCTACCTCCTAGCCCACCTCCCCACACTGCACTCAACCCCATCCCTTGGGAGCCGGTCGGCCGAGCGGACAGCACGCTGGACTTGATCCTGTGGTCCCGGGTTCGATCCCAGGCGCTGGTGAGAAACAATGGGCAGAGTTTTTCACCCTATGCCCCTGTTACCTAGCAGTAAAATAGGTACCTGGGTGTTAGTCGGCTGTGACGGGCTGCTTCCTGGGGGTGGAGGCCTGGTCAAGTACCAGGCCGCGGGGACACTAAAAAGCCCCGAAATCATTTAAAGATTCAAGAATCAAGCTCCGTGCACAAACAGCCCAACCGCTTGGGCTGAATGGTAGAGCGACTGTCTCGCTTCATGCAGGTCAGCATTCAATGCCCAACTATCCAAGTGGTTGGGCACCATTCCTTTCCCCCGTCCCATCCCAAATTCTTATTGACCTTCCAAGTGCTATATAATTTACCTTCCAAGTCACAGTAAGACTTGCAATTAAAGCCTTCACAACTCTGCAATATTTGATTGATTAAGCAGAGCAATAAGCCAGTGTACATGATCAATTTCCCTAACAACCTACATCTGGCAATTGATACATCGAAGTCAGGCCTGGCTGCAGGCCGGGCTCAGGGAGGAGGAGAACTCCAGAGACCCTCTCCAGGTATGTTCCAGGTATAGTACCATTGTGAGGCAAAATGTGTGATGCTGGTTAATGTAAAAGTTATGATGGAAGAACGAGTTTTTGGTAAATCTTTAGCTTTCTTTTAACACTGTTTTTCTATATTCCTCTGGACTATTGCTGCTTCATAAATATGGGAATTGAAATATATACATGGAACATAGTGTGATAATAAGGGTAGATGTTGAAAGTAAGAAAATAATTCCACTACAAATTAAATCTTATAGGTATGGTATTGTACAATTTGTCACCTATTAAAATATTGCACATGTTCAAGAATACCTCAAATGTGTGCCCTTACTTTCCTAGCCACTTAAATGATTGCTATTTTCAGATGTTGGTCTTGGATGAAGCAGATGAGATGCTAAATAAAGGGTTTAAGGAACAGATTTATGATGTATACCGCTACCTTCCTCCTGCTACTCAAGTTGTCCTCATCTCTGCCACGTTGCCTCACGAAATTTTGGAAATGACTTCAAAGTTCATGACGGACCCCATCCGCATTCTTGTAAAGCGGTGAGCTAATAGTCTTAATCGTCAAATTTTTCTTACACCCTTGTGAAAATTGAGCCTAACCATTTGGGCTGGACGGTAGTGACTGTCTCGCTTCATGCAGGTTGGCGTTCAATCCCCCTGACCGTCCACAGGTGGTTGGGCACCATTCCTTTCCCGTCCCATCCCAAATCCTTATCCAGACCCCTTCCAAATTTTATATAGTCGTAATGTCCTGGCACCTGCTCCTGATAGTTCCCCTTCCCTTGTGAAAATTGGTAATGCTGAAGATCTTCAGTCTTTTATGCTGTTCAAGTTAAAGTATAATTTGATTTTTTTTTTTTTTTTTTTTTTTTTTGTCTTGCAAGTGCTGTATCAATAATAAACAAATGGTAGTTGCAGTGTCTGGGGAATATACCTTTAGCAATTACCATTATTTTAAGATCACTGCTATATGAAATTCTTATTAAAATGTGTTTAAATGAGTTGAAAATACTAAAATATTTGTTAGGTCATAAGTCAAATTTCAGAAGTCAGGGAGACTTCTGACATTAATAAAAATAAATTTCTAACTGCCAGAAAGAGGGTGGTAATTGGAGGCTGTATATCCAACTGGAGGAGTGTTGTATGAATTATATGAAAGTATTTACTGATGATGCTGAGCTATAAGTGAAAAAGAGAGACTTAGATGATTGTCATGCCATTCAAAATGTCCTAGACAAAATATGTCTGGAGCACCCACCATGTGGCAATTGGAATTTAATGTGCATAAGCGCCATCCACTCCGAGGACATTATCAGGTGGGGAGTTTGACTGGGGCGGTACGTCTGTCAAATGATAACGCAGGCATCATAAGACCAGCTCAGCATGGATAGAAACTTCGCGTAGAGCAAAAGGGCATTTGTCCGTGGCATAAGATAAAATAGGCCAATACAACCTACAAATTATATGAAAAGGAATTAGATGCTAACAAAGAAAGATCTAGGGGGGTGGTTCTAGATAGTCGATTGTCACCAGAGGAACATACAAGACATTGTGTGAGGAGCATATGCTACACTTTTCAATTTCAGAATTGCTTATAATTGTCTGGATGGGGAAATACAGTACTAAAACTGTTCATGACTCGAGACCAAAACTGGAATATGCAGCAGTTGTATGGTGCCCATATCACATAAAGCACTTCAATAAACTGGAAAAGGTGCAAAGGCATGCTATAAAATGGTATCCAGAACTGAAAAACTAGAGTTATGAAGAGAGGCTAAAGGCATTAAATATCCCAAAGCTGGAAGATAGAAGTAAGAGAGACAATATGATCACCACTTACAAAATACTGTAATAATGGGAATTGACCAAATTGACAAGGGGGAATTCCTGAAACCGGCAACCTCAAGAAAGAGGTCATAAATTCAAGCTAAGGAGACAAAGGCCTTAAAAAAAATATTAAAACCGTTTTATTTTGCGAAAAGAATAGCAGGCGGTTGGAACAAGTTAAGTGAGAAAGTCATAGTGATGTACACTATGGTGTTATTTTGAGAACTGACAAAAAACTAAGGATAACTTTCCTCGTCTGCAATATAAACAAATATCTACAGTACTTAGTAATTAGCTCAGGTTGTGGTGTATTATTGCATCTCCCATATTCCGAAGCAACATTCAGCTTACTGCTTGTATGTACATACTGAATATATATATGGGGTGAGTAAGAGATTGGTTATTTTCTTTAAACAAAATTGTTGTATTTTTATCTTTCAGTGATGAATTGACACTAGAAGGTATTAAGCAGTTCTTTGTTGCAGTCGAACGTGAAGAATGGAAGTTTGATACACTGTGTGACTTGTATGACACACTCACCATTACACAGGCTGTTATCTTCTGTAACACAAAGCGTAAGGTGAGTAATAACGGGCCTTATTGAATGATTCATTTCGTGTGACTGCTTGTGTGAGAATTTAATTAGCTATCAATGATATATAACATAATATTTGGGCAAATGGCATGAAGTCTTGAGACAGTTAAGCAAGTCCCAGCTGTGTCTGGGTACAAGTGACAGGATGAACAACCCAGCGGGTTTTCTTCCTATTGGGGAGTGTTGTACATGCTGCTATGGCGGTGTGTCCACTCACAGGATGAGTGGCGCTGCCCAATACTGTCACTATGGCGGTGTGTCCACTCACAGGATGAGTGGCACTGCCCAATACTGTCACTATGGCGTTGCGTCCACTCACAGGATGAGTGACGCTGCCCAATACTGTCACTATGGCAGTGTGTCCACTCACAAGATGAGTGGCGCTGCCCAATAAACTCGCCACTCGGGGCAAAATTTAAAAAATTTAATGGCATGAAACTGTGCGACTATTCTGCGAATTTTTTGTTTATCATACTGTAGTATACTGTGCTAGAACTAGTTTCTCTTAATGCCTCTGAAGTTTGAAGATATATTTGAAGTGGTGGATAGTGTAAACATTTGATAGTACAGTGCTTGATTGTAACGATGCTTTGGACACTTTTCCTCGTGAAAGGTTAATTAGGAAAGGTGAAAGGGGCAAAGGGAGACCAGAATGCTTTTCTTAACAGAAGGGTGGTAGGAAATTAATGTATATAACACTGCATAGGCTTGATAAAGAGAAGCCAGTCAAAGCTGTGAACATGTGTATCTAGGAATGGAAGGAAGAAATTAAATTCCTATTCAACTTTGAAATTGAAGGAGCCAGACTAGTTAGAAATTAGAGGAAAGGCGGGAAAAAGACTAGTCATTCTCTTGAGGTTATCTTGAGATGATTTTGGGCCTTTAGTGTCCCCGCGGCCCGGTCCTCGACCAGGCCTCCACCCCCAGGAAGCAGCCCGTGACAGCTGACTAACACCCAGATACCTATTTTACTGCTAGGTAACAGGGGCATAGGGTGAAAGAAACTCTGGCCATTGTTTCTCGCCGGCGCCTGGGATCGAACCCAGGACCACAATCACAAGCCAGCGTGCTGTCCACTCGGCCGACCGGCTCATTAGCCAAAGGGCAAAAATGTCATCAATGTAGTGAAGCCAGAGAGGGAAGCATATTAAATGTTGGAAGCGACAAGAGGAGAGGGGTAGTCCTATAGTGATACCGAAAATTGAGAGAAATGTTTATCATTGGAAAGTAAGTTAAGTCAACACGGGTTAATGAGATCGAGGAAGACATCAGTTGGAACCCGGAGATAAAGAAGGCTCTCGGTAACCTTCTAAGGAAAGGGAGATCATCAAGGGCAACATTAGGACAAAAATGAACATAAAGACTAAGCACCTTAGAGGAAGGCTGGAGGCACAGCCTGTCATTGTAGTATTGAGATTGAGGAAGGAGAGTGGGGTGGGGGGGGGGAGTACTAAGATAGGAAGATGGTTTTGGCAAGCACCGTTTGCTTTAAAGTTGAGGATGATGCACAGAGCAGCTGTCGTGCCATGCGTGTTGCTGACAACACGTGTTGACAACAACATACAAGATGCGTGTTGTTTAACTTGAATAGGTTCATTAAAGCAAACAATGCTTTATGCTCAAAAGATATAATTTCAAAGTTGTCATAAGAGGACATTTGTGTACAAAATATGTTCATTAACCCTTGCACTGCTCACCTATTTTCTGTAAAAACGTCTTGGTGCAATTGTCAAGGACATATTTTTGTTATTTTTACAAATGCTCAGGTAAATTTAATGTCAAAATGTTTGCAAAGTCAACTATTTCCATTTCAAAACACAAATAGTAATGAAAACATTAAAAAACATTAAAATATAGTCAAATTAAAAAACAAAAAGCACAACTCTGAGTGCCAAAAGGCGCTTTGCGCAGTGCAGTGGTTAAAGGAAACTTGCCTATATACGAAGATGTCTATACACGGTCTGTAGAGCCATGTTATGTTGTGTGAAAAATGTAAAATTGTATGGAAATTGACAAAACCAAGATTTAAGTACAGTACAAATATGGAGTTTAGATATTAATAATTCTTCCTGACACTTAACCAATTTTGGGAAAGTGGTTCTAATATATTTACAGTTATTTATTTATTTATTTATTTATGTACAAGAAGGTACATTGGGATCATGAGAGTACAGAGACTTGAAGTTTTACATTCTTGTAATATATATAATTGTATATATAATATAAACAACAATACGGTTGTTAATTTGTGGAACCAATTACTGCATAACATAATGGAAGTAGGATCCCTCGATTGTTTCAAGCGTAGGTTAGACATGTGTATGAATGAGATGGGTGGATATAAATAGCTGCTGCTTCGTATAGGCCAATAGGCCTACTACAGTTATCTTGATTCTTGTGTTCTATATAAAATGTCTTCTATGATTTAGTACTATTATGCGGTGCACAGCCTCGTCCCACATTGCTGTCTAGAGTGAATGTGGCTGGTTGCTAGAATGCAGGCGATGAGTCACAACGTGGCTAAAGTAAGTTGACCAGACCACACACTAGAAGGTGAAGGGACGACGACGTTTCGGTCCGTCCTGGACCATTCTCAAGTCGATTGTCTTGATTGTCAATCGTCTCAAGTCTTGTTAAAATATTTTGTTACTTCTGAAAATTTGATGTGTCCAAGTTCTATATGCTCCTCCTCCCCCCCCCCCCCCCTCCCTCATCTGAAATATCATATTCCTCTGTAATTAGTATGTGTGTATTCAGTGCCATGATGCTCAGTTATGCTAAATAATTCCTTTTCGTGTTTGTTATTGTAATTTTTGTTTTTCTTTAGGTGGACTGGCTGACAGAGAAGATGAGAGAAGCCAATTTCACAGTATCATCTATGCATGGCGATATGCCACAGAAAGAGCGTGATGCCATTATGAAAGAATTCCGTTCGGGTCAGTCTCGTGTCCTCATCACTACTGACATCTGGGCAAGAGGAATTGATGTACAGCAGGTAAATATGCTCACAGATAGTTAATATACAAGTTGCGCATGAATGACAGTTTATACTTGAGCATTTTCACGTAAAATTCGAGTTAAAACTGGAACTTTAGATTTTTGTTTTAAGTAGTGTGTGCTCAGTGGTTCCTTCGGCACCAACTGTTTGTCTTGGTATGGTGTTCATTAATGTAAATTATTTAAAATGTGATGAGTCATGTTACAAAAGTTACCATTCATGTCCTAATTTTCTCATGCTCTCTGGGTGAATTTCACAAAGTAAAATTGTAATTTCAATCTATTGTATGAATATCAATCTGGGAAAACCTGCTTGTAAGGAATTGTTTTCATCCAGCATTTCCCCAGAATTCAGCTCCTTGAAGTTAATCTTTAATGGTTTGAAAAACCATACCCATAAGCATGCCCATAAAAAAAAATATTGAACACTAAAGTTTTTTTTATGGAATACCTTGGAAACTCATTTCAATAATTAATTAATTATCAGTTTGCTTCCCAGTTTACCAGTTATCTGTTATTAAGACTGAATTTGTGGTTTATTACCCGTGCATGTCTAAGCTTTAATTAGGTTGGCCAAACCACACACTAGAAAATGAAGAGACGACGTCGTTTCGGTCCGTCCTGGACCATTTCTTAAGTTGGCCGAAATGTCGTCTCTTCATTTTAGAGTGTGTAGTTTGGTCAACATTTTTCAGCCACGTTATTGTGACTCTTCATCTTCAATTAGATTGTTATCCGAGTAACGTGTATTTGTAAGCATTGTTTCTAATTAGTTCATCGTTGTTGTAAAAATATACCTACTAAATTGAAATGGGAAAAATTATAAATATTTGTATGTATCGGGTACCATTAGCAAGTAGACTTGATAATGGTCGATGAACACGAGCATTTTTCACATTTTGTTTGTCCAGCCACATTACGGTGAGTCGTTCTTTTATTCTGTACAGTTGAGCTAATTATAGCAATTTACTTAATTTTTTTTTCTAAAACCGTTTAGCTAGATCTGTCAAAACCTTATGTACAGTTTAAGGAATTTGTTATTGTTTGGTATTTTTATTGTATAAAATGATGATACTGTTTTGCAGGTTTCTTTGGTGATTAACTACGATTTGCCCAATAATCGTGAGTTGTACATCCATCGTATTGGTCGTTCTGGGAGATTCGGCCGTAAAGGTGTTGCTATCAACTTTGTCAAGAATGACGACATTCGTATTTTGCGAGACATTGAACAGTACTATTCTACACAGATTGATGAAATGCCCATGAATGGTGAGTTTCACTATTACCATATTTTTCTGTTGATATTTCAGCTTAGGGTAATAGGTATGAATTGCAGTATTTGTAATTTTTCTAGCCTAGCTCCACTGATGACCACTTTATCAGCTAGAATATTGTTGTTTGCTACTGTAAATACCATTACAGTTTGCCTGATTTGGCTTGTCCCACAAAAAAGCCCTAAACCTAGGTTATAAGCAGACAAAGTTAGTCCCATCGGGAGAAGCGAGCACGGACAATGATCACAGAATGTGGTCATCTAGGTGGTGGTAGTGTTGGAGAGAGGTGTTAGTGGTGTCAGATACTATAAAGATACCAAGAGCACTACTAGAAGGGCAAGAGTGACAATTATTGGAAAAAACACGATAGACATGGGAAAATGTAGAGCAACCATTAAGTGGAAGACGACAAATATCTGTATATTATAATTATATTATAATTATATTATAAGGAGGGAGACATACGAGGAATTAAGCCTCCTTCTTTTCCCCAAACAAGGTTGGGGGGTGATGGGGGCAAACTAGCCGGTGCTAGTCTGTTGTTGTTTAAGATTCACTACCTGGAACCAAAAGTTCCAAGCAGCTCAGGCTATGGTGAGCCCGTAGTGGACTTGTATTGTGGTTGAGTAACTGTGAAAGACAGGATGTAAGAGGCAGGCTGGAAAGGCTGCCAAATGCTAGGTGGACATTACTTTATGGTTGAGTACAGAAAGGAAAGTGTTCTGGAAGTGGTCGGTCAGTTCACCGGCTGTAGCCAGGTCCTGTAGTTGACGGAATGTGAATTTTTACAAAAGTATGAATGCAAGTCAGGGAAAGAAAGTGGTGTAATCAAAACCTTGGGAAGGAGAAGCCAGGCATAGGTGACATGAATGTTGGGGGGGGAGGGTTGCATAGAGTGGACACCCATCTGTATGGATGTTAGATGTTGGTGAAGAATCAGTGAGCACAGCTGTAGAAATGGACATGTATTTGTGGTGTCAGGAAGAAAGGAAGGAAAGTCATTCAAAGATATGCAGTACAAGAGATGGTAATTTTTAAGTATGGCAATTTTATCAAGATGGTTTGGTCATAAGGACTGAATGGATAATAGAGGTTAAGAGTTAATAATAAGATTGGATAAATTTCATAAATGGTAAGAAAGTAAGTTTAGAGTGGCCATTTGTACTTTATAGAAAAATTTGTGCTTTTGTATGGGTTAATGAATATACATGAGTATTGCTAAAGAGCTACATCTAATAATCTGTAAATTAAAAATGCCTTCAATAACTTTTCGTACTAAAACTGTGTATCCTACTGGTGAGATGTAAATTATACCCAGTGCAGGATAAGTTGTGCGAATACGAGTACAAAACAGCATTAGGGCCTAGGTTTTGGTGCTCAAACCCTAACGAAGACGACAAATCACTGGAAGGCAAGTGCTTATAAAGGAACGACATAAGATAACCGTGTTGTATCAGGTTGATGAATAGGTTAGGGTGCAAGCATTACGGGCTGGGCCGAGGCTGTCGTTCTGTTCCCGGACCAGCCGGAGTCTTGACTCAAAACTGACTGTAGAAAATTTTCCCATTCTTTTATGGTAGTGTTTCTTTAACTGCAACTTTTTGTTTTTCAGTTGCTGATCTGATATAATGTGAATGCTGGACGAGTTCTCGAGTGATCTTCCACCAGCCTGTATTTATGAAGCTATATTCAATACTTGGTTTAGAGGCTAGCCATTTGTAGTGGTTTGGATGGTGTATCATTCATTAACTTTGTGCAGCCATTTTAATTTATGACAAGTGAAGTGCTAGTTAATGTATTATATATTTACTGTTAAGAATTAGATTTTTTTTTTTGTTTTTATACTCCATAGATAATTTATCAAAATTTGTCATGTTGCCATGTTTTTAAACACGCCTTTTTAAATATTTCCAGAAGAGCAGTAAAACATGTACATCTATTATCTATATTTCCTTATATTTTTGGAAAAAAGTATTATTACTTTTTTGTAATAAAACATTGCACAAGTACACCTGGTGTATTATATTCATAATAACATAAGAACAAAGGCAACTGCAGAAGGCCTATTGGCCCATACGAGGCAGCTCCTATCTATAACCACCCGATCCCACTCAGCAGTCTCCGTGGTGTAGTGGTAAGACACTCGCCTGGCGTTCCGCGAGCGCTATGTCATGGGTTCGTATCCTGGCCGGGGAGGATTTACTGGGCGCAATTCCTTAACTGTAGCCTCTGTTTAACGCAACAGTAAAATGTGTACTTGGATGAAAAAACGATTCTTCGCGGCAGGGGATCGTATTCCAGGGACCATAGGATTAAGGACTTGCCCGAAACGCTACGCGTACTAGTGGCTGTACAAGAATGTAACAACTCTTGTATATATCTCAAAAAAAAAAAAAAAAAAAAAAAAAATACATACATGTCCAACCCGCGCTTGAAACAATCGAGGGACCCCACCTCCACCACGTTACGCGGTAATTGGTTCCACAAATCAACAACCCTGTTACCGAACCAATATTTACCCAAGTCTTTCCTAAATCTAAACTTATCCAATTTATATCCATTGCCATACTATACACACTTGGCTATATAGAACTAATGATAACTTGTATATTACTATCTTTAGCTGGTGTCCAATTAATTAGTACAGTAAAACTATCAAATTCTTGCTCTTGTATTGACATTTGTGAAACCAAGAGAGACATGAGAAAAGCTATGACCAAAGATGTAAAATTCACCAAGGAACAGATGATTGAGATGGATATTGCAAAAGCAAGACTAATCATCCTGGAAAAAAAAATATGCTATAAGGTGGTGGTATACAATGTGGTTGAAGTCTTTCATTAATTGTATGGGGCCGATACATCTCTTGCCACCCAGTTTATGGCGAAAGGTGGTTAGGAATTGTGCATTTATAAATGTAATGCATCTCTCCAACTGTTGCAGATTGTATAAATCCACATGGGCCGTGATGAGGGTTTGAACTTACATTCATGATGATCCCAGACGCACCTTAATCAACTGTGCCACGACATGGAATAAGAATTGCAACCGGGATTGCTATTGCTCTCACATGGATCCCGCGGTCTCTCCAAGACACAAACCGGGATTGTTTGTAAAACCGAGAGCCATAGCAATCCCGGTTGCAATTCTTATTCAGTGTCGTGGCGCAGTCGATTAAGGCGCGTCTGGTACCATTGTGGACGTAAGTTCGAGTCCTCATCACAGCCCTTGTGATTTCTGTGTTGCTGATTGTGTTTTGAAGTGAAGGGTAGAAATCAGAGCAAATAATAAGTTTTTCACATCAGTTCAGTTTAACCAGGGTCCAGAGCCTGGGCCCCCTTATAGAGAGCAAGTGACACTACACCACTTCAACAGGAAAGCATCTAAGTAGTATTACAGACCACTGTTAGCTTCAAAAGAATCAGAGCCTCAAAAACTGCCAAACAAATGATCGAATCTCAAACTCGTTAATACCAGACCACTACCACTTGGGGTCCAGAGCCCCAGCCCTCTTCAACTCTTTCAAGTTAGTCATTGATGCACTTTGCTCCAGTTGACTGCGGAAGTGGTCCTGGGTCCCCAACCAGTCGCAAGGGTCATGTTGCGTCTAAGCTAAGTGCCAACCATCCTTGGATTTCATCCTTCATTTGCTTGATCCAGTGTTAGCATTTACTTCACAAGTGTGTTTTTTCCCCTACCCACTTATGTGGTTATCTTGAGATGATTTCGGGGCTTTAGTGTCCCCGTGACAGCTGACTAACACCCAGGTACCTATTTTACTGCTAGGTAACAGGGGCATAGGGTGAAAGAAACTGCCCATTGTTTCTCGCCTGCGCCCGGGATCGAACCCAAGACCACAGGATCACAAGTCTAGTGTGCTGTCCGCTCGGCCAACCAGCTCTTTGGACTGGACTTGTTTTGCATCTGGAGCTGTGTGCCTTCACGGTTACTTTCCTGGGTGCTCCCTCGTGCTGCCCCCGTGTTGACAGTTATTTTCCTGGTATGCAAGCGAGTTTGCATTTTCAAAGCCCAGTTATCGAGGTAGAGTGCCTTACCTCAGGTGGTTCAAGAGTCTTTCGTCCTCTGTTTAGACCTGTGGTGTTGGCAAACATTTAGATTGAGTCCCAGCACACTTCAACCATACACTTGTGTTATACAGCATGCCACGGTTAGCTTTCACAGCCATATTGGTTAGGTTATATTTGACAACTGTTCCTTTAGCAAGTGTCCAGTTTGGCAATCCCTTAGCCCCTGGTAATCCCATACAGTGTTTTCAGCGTGATAACCAAGGGCTCTTCGTGTCAAACCTGGACTTGCTATTAACAAGTTTGAGGTATGATCATTGTCCGTGCCATGAAAGATTGCGATCACACTGCCTTTTGGCTCGGTGACACCAATGCTCGAGTCCTGCGGCATTTGTTCCCTTTGTCTTCTGAAGTGGAAACTTAACAGGTGGCTGCCGCTTTGCCTGTCTTTAACGTTCATGACTTTGTGCCCATTTGGATGCCCCAGAGTTGGCCCATCTAGTTTTTAGGGACCTTTATTGGAGGTGTTGATGAATTCCACCTTAGTTTTGTCTGTGCCTCCTCTTCCTTTCCCTTCAGGTGTGTTGTGCCTGGTTTCTATTATTTCTTCCCCCTGCTTCCAGCTCCAAGGTGTCTTTCAGGGTTTTGTATTTGGGGCAGGGTGTGGCTTGGCTTCTTCCTACTCAGGCATGCCAGGATTTTTAATTTTACTTTCCACCCGCCTTCTTAATCCAAACCGCCTTTGGAGTTGGCCTTTCTTGCCCAGGCATTGGGCAAAAACCTCAGTTCTACCCTGGAGCCTTCGACAGGCTGCCAGGGTTAGGTGGAGGGACCAGAAAGGGTCCTTGGGGTTCCTTTCAACCCCTCTTGGTCCTTTGTTTCTTCTGAGAAGGTTCAGTTGCTTCAGGGGGGAGGGGTTTTCATACCCTCCTTTATACGAATTTGATTCTCTGTGGTTCCCCCAAGGTTCGTTTCCATGTATCATATGGTCCTACGGACTTTTCTCAAACCCCTCCTTCAGTGGCTCGAGTTGATCTCTTGAGTACTTCCTGAAGGATCTGGGTTTTACCTCTTTATGTACCCTTTCTCATGCAAGCTCTGGTTTTTCTTGTCTTATAAGGCCCCAGATTCTTCCTGGCTGTGATCTCCTTTTCCTTGGAGCCTTGGGAAAGTTTCTACTCTACCCATAAGCTTGAGTGGCAGGTAGTGTACAAGAATGTGTGTGTGTTCTTGGGTGGTCCTCCCTATTCACTGCTTGTTTACCCAGTGATGCAGGTAAGTGGCAGCTCCGTGGACACTGCACAACTGCCTCTGTTTTCTGGAGCTCTTGTGGCTGACTTGAGGGCTCATTCACCCTTGGCACTCCTGGAGCATGCCTTTACCTAACTACCTTTAACATTACACATCACAAATATCTTTGAAAGCATGCTAAGTAAAGATCACAAAATACATGAAATCACAGTACAGCAAGGTGGTGATAGCTCCATAAGACACACAATTTTCATAATTGAGTCATAGAACGTACTTTTATTGGTGTAGATGGCTTATCTACATAACCCCCAGGCAACATAGGTTCAGAACAGGACACTCCTGCCTCTAAATTGCTAGGACAGGACACTTTAAATTAACGTTTTGAAACTTTACAAGAATTTCCTGCCCACCTAACCTATCAGAGGACTCTTAACTTACTGTTGTTGAAAAAAAAAAAATCCCAAATTTATATTTCTTTTTCATTTTCAAATTACGTCCAAATTCGGGCAAACGTCCAAGAGTGACGTTCTTTTTAAGAGGACAGATTGAACTTGTCAACATGGTAAACCACACCTACTCTTACCTACATACTGAAAATTAGCAAACATACACTTTTTGCTAAGCTTTTGTGTTTATTAATAATTAAACAACATACAGGTTTACTATACTGTACTTAGGGAAATAATTTTTGTTTAAACATATTGAATTTATTCAAATGTAATATAGTCACAAATTTCTAAAATAAAACAATTAGTTACATTGCTCGTCATAAAATTGTCGTGTTAATCATAAAAAATAAAGCATTGTTATAATGAATTTTTATTTAGTTAGTCCACAATAGCTCCCTGGTGTTCACATGCTGGCCCTGCTAAGCCCAAGCATCGTGCCAGGCCTCCGAGACCCACATTGACCTATCAGGAGCCAGGACCAGAATCTAGCACACTCTACGAGGTGAGGGAGAACCTGGGGATCATAGGTGAGGGAGACCCTGGGGATCATAGGTGAGGGAGAACCTGGGGATCTTAGGTGAGGGAGAACCTGGGGATCATAGGTGAGGGAGACCCTGGGGATCATAGGTGAGGGAGACCCTGGGGATCAGAGATTGACCTAAAACTGAAGAAACAAACCAGAAATGATAGACAAAACAAAAATAAGCAACTGCATTAAAGTAGGAAATGGAAATTGAGGTAAACAAGGTAAATGGTAACATGTCAAGAGGTGAACAATTGTCACTGTAATGTATGTGTGACTGCCGGTAGACAGCAGCCCTGGGTCCAGATTCACAAAGCAGTTACGCAAATACTTACGAACGTGTACATCTTTCCTCGATCTTTGACGGCTTTGGTTACATTTATTAAACAGTTTACAAGCATGAAAACTTACCAATCAACTGTTATTGTTATAAACAGTCTCCTGGTGCTTCAGAGCTCATTAACTGTTTAATAATTGTAAACAAAGCTGCCAAAGATTGAGAAAAGATGTACAGGTTCGTAAGTGCTTTGTGACTGGCCCCTGGCCACCCAGCATCCTGACCCATCACTACCCACCCCCCTCATAAGCTGCCACTATAGGACTGCAGAGCTCCCACATTGTTTACTCTCTTTGTTTACTCTCTTTACTCTCCACATTGTTTACTCTTTACATTGTTTAATGGTTCCTTGCTAGAGAACTGATGCTCTGCTGAGAAGGAAACAATAGCAAATGCCAAAAAAGTTAAAGAAGGGATTACTTGTGGAAGAGGATGGTAGAGGTCCAGGACTCAGGGTCAAATGCTTGAGCAGTACAAAGAGCACACAAGGACTGCTAAGAATAGCAATAGGCGAAAGTGAGAATAACCCAGAAAAAGAGAAGACAAAACACTGACCCACGGAAATGTACACAAGGTCACGCCTTGGCACAGCGTGCGAGAGGAATCGGAAGAGTAACACTCCAGTCGTGGGAACTCGTAAGGATCCCACAAGAATGACACAAGCCAACACTGAACTACCTGGGGGAGGGGGGGGGACTACCTAGCCCAAGACTAGGATCCCACCAGAACTACTACGGTAAAACAAAGTGGTGGCAGCCAAAGCACAAACACCTGCCCATCAATGAGCCATGAAAAATTTCCAAATGGGGCCCCCTACAGCAGCCAGGGGTAACCTCAGCTCACAGACAAGATCCACACTACACAGGGCCAAAGGAAAGACTGTGGGAGGAGATCTCCGAGGTGAATGGCAGGGAAACCACCACTGCCAATAAAGCCCAGCAAAGTCGGAAACCAAAGCCCACAGAGCACAAATCCCAACAAAATGGGATGCAAGGCCCAAGAAACCAAGGCAACTGGGGACCACAGGGCACGAACACACAGTTTGGGGGAGCCAGTCGGCCGAGCGGACAGCACGCTGGACTTCTGATCCTGTGGTCCTGGGTTCGATCCCAGGTGCCGGCTAGAAACAATGGACAGAGTTTCTTTCACCCTATGCCCCCTGTTACCTAGCAGTAAAATAGGTACCTGGGTGTTAGCTGTCACAGGCTGCTTCCTGGGGGTGGAGGCCTGGTCGAGGACCGGGCCGCGGGGACACTAAAAAGCCCCGAAATCATCTCAAGATAACCCAGCAAGGAGAACCAAAGCTTCTAAACCAGAGGCCCACGACACCAAACACAAAGGTGCAGAACATAACCCAAACGACAGGGACAGTAACTTCAAAACACGAGGCACCTTGCCAGAATATCACAAAGTCTGCATGGCATAAGGCACAAACTTCAAGCTCCCCTCACCTTATAATGTTTCTGGCCATAGTTCCTGGTAGGTCAGTGCAGGTCTCAGAGATCTGGCACAATTTTTAGGCTTGGAGATACGAGTGGGTAAGTATCGAGAAGCTACTGAGGGGGCCTTTCCAGAACAAAGAATGTAACTAAAAAAATATTATGTAACAGTAATTATAGTAGCAAGTGAGACATTTCTCATCACATAACTACACATGCATATCAAGAAATACATTCTGTATAAACTATAAAGTAACAAAAAAAAAAGGCTATACATTACTCGCTCATCCAATGATCACAAAATGTGCGCTATTACCAAAAGCATAACCCACGCAAACCAGAAAACCACAAGTCACACAAACCTAGAAGTACTTTTACATGGAATGTCAAACATACATACTTTACAAGTATCTCAGGTAATTACATAACAGGTATATATATATATAATAATTTGATTGTCATTGTAAATAATGTGAGAGCCAGATCATAGAATTTATAGATAAATATTTAATAGGTAATAAGGCTGAACATTTGGCCTGAAATGCTCAAACATAATACTGTACCGCGATTAACACTGTATCTGAACATCATTGTTCCTTTTTATACTCTGCCTTATTAGTAAATTATGTTATCAAATACTAGTTTCATCACACACATTATTCCCTACGGACGTGCCATACATTGTCGTAACCATTACAAAATGCCACGACAAGCGTTCGCAACAGACCAAAATGTCGTCACCTCCATTTGACGTGTGTGCATCGGAGTTATTGATTTCTGACGTGTTATTGTGACTTATTCTTTGCCTCATTACAATCTTTTAAGCTGTAAGGATGTGACCATTCCATGCGTACATGTAAACATGCCCCCACAGCAATAAACTATACCCTTGAAGTAAAGATGACAAATAATTGCATTAAACTTTTACTGTTTTGTGCATTAACTGGAAATAAACCCCTTTAATGATCGGCCATCAAGTTCTTGAGAACTAAATATTGTGCGAGATGTTAGTCTTATATGTTCTTACAACATTCACGAGGAATGTACTGTGCTGGAAATTAACAAACGAACTACTTCCCAAAAAGTTGGCTTAGCAGTCCACCGGAGCAAAGTAATTAAACCTTTTATGATGTTCACACGAGAACCTTCCCAATTTACTAATAGTTTATTGGATTTAAATAAAGGTATATGGCATTAATCATTCGTCATAATCATCAATATAAAAAAGCTTGCCATGAGGTCAAAGGAAAAATTGAAAGTAATCATAAAACAACAACAGTAGTAAAAAAAGCCTTAGAGTGACCTTGAAATTCTTGCTTTTGGCTCGCCAACTACACCTCGTGTGTGATATCAAAATACTACCAGGGTAGAATGCTTCAAATACATAATCTAATAAACATTCTGACTGCAAATTTTTAGGGTCTTTAAACTGCTTGGAAGAAATTTAAAACATGATGTTGGATGTGGTTTTTCCCATCTTAAATAAATCAATATTTTATCAATATTTGAGATTAATGCTAAAGACCTTATGCACTGTACAATTGCATAGTACTATGCAGTAATGCAATTATGAAATAAATTCATAGTATTATGAAACAATGGTTTCAACTGCGAGAGAGAGAGAGAGAGAACCGAGGGTGAAGTTAACGTCCCGCCACCCAGATGCGACAACAGCATTCCGCCACCCAGGGCAACATCAGCGTTCCGTCCCCCAGGAAGACAGCACCTCTAGCAATCAAGCTATACTATAAAAAAAAAAAGACTGGGCACACTTGGGTTAAACAATCTGGCCCAGTTACCAAGACCTCTCAATGAACAATTTCTAGAGGGTAAGTTGATCCCACATCTTTTGGAGAAGGCAAGAAGGGATATTTATTTTTGAAACTCAACTAAAGAGGCTATTTATTTAGAATAGCCTCCTTTATACCTGTAATTCAATAAATTTGTGCAAATGGAATGAGTTTTTTAATTGTTAAATATACCGTATTTAATTAATGTTAATGCTCAATCATTTCCAAACATTTTATATATCACCAAAGTGGGATTTCTAATACTATTACTATCTAGTGTGTTTAGGCTATTCTGTAAAACCAGGATGTGTTTACTCCGAGAACATATACAGCATCTGTCAGAACTAGCTGGCAAAATGATCAGATCAATTGTAACTATACCTTGAGGTTACCTTGAGGTGCTTCCGGGGCTTAGCGTCCCCGCGGCCCGGTCGTCGACCAGGCCTCCTAAATGCATGAAGATATAATAGTTAACCCTTCATTATGAAGGAATATTTATTTTATTCTTGGATTCTTACCATGCATTTTCAAGTCAAATTTGTTTACATAAATGCCCCTTGAAATATTTTTATGTAACACTGTACTACGAAACACGGATAATGATTTACGTACTGGACACTTGCTAAGTCTAAATAATAAGAAATAACGTCCAATATTGTCAGGTGTGTGGCATTACGGTACTTCTCACCACTTTGGTGTTATCTGATGGAATGTCCACTTCTGGTAGTTGTTAATAGCATCACATGGAAGTAGAGTCAGCTGGTTGTTCTGCGGGTGGAGTGCAGCACATTTTCCCAAACGCTTGTGGAGTATCACATGACTTTGCTGCAAACATAAATTATTTACTACAGTATTAACAAATACAGATTAAATCTAAAATATATATATATACATACAGTGGCAGCTTGGTTTACAAATTTAATCCCTTCCAACAGATGGTTCGTACACCGTAAACTCGTAAACCAAAACTAATTTTCCCATAAGAAATGATGTAAATTGAATTAATCCGTTCCGCACCTGCAAAAATATTAACCTAAAACTACTGTATATATATATATATATAATTTTACACACACACACAATTAATTAACATTAGGGGAGCCGTTGGCCGAGCGGACAGCACCCTGGACACATGATCCTGTGGTCCCGGGTTCGATCCCGGGCCCCGGCAAGAAACGATGGGCAGAGTTTCTTTCACCCTGATGGGACTGTTACCTAGCAGTAAATAGGTATCTGGGTGTTAGTCAGCTGTCACAGACTGCTTCCTAGGGTGTGTGTGTGGTGTGGAAAAAAAAATAGTAGTAGAAACAGTTGATTGACAGTTGAGAGGCAGGCCGAAAGAGCAGAGCTCAACCCCCGCAAGCACAATTAGGTGAATAGATACACAAAAAGGCAAACCAACAAAATAACTAGAGAAAGGGGGAGTGAAGAATAAGAAGAGAGGGAACATGTTCCTGAAAAATACAAAAAACATACCAGAGATACAAAGAAGTGAGAAACAACTATACAGCAGTGAGGAGAGGGGCAGAAAAAAATTTGAGAAAGGGATAACAGACAAATGTAAAACAGAACCAGTCCTATTCTATGAATTCATAAACAACAAATTGCAGGTAAAGAATAATATTCAGAGGGTGAAGATGGGAAACAGATTCACAGAAAATGAAAAGGAAATGTGTGAAACATTAAACAAAAAGTTCCAAAGTGTGTTTGTACAAAATTAAATCTTCAAAGAACCAGACATAAGAATTCCAGAGAATAACATAAGAGGTGTCTAGAGATGAAGTGGAAAAAATGCACAAGGAGCTAAATAAGAACAAAGCAATTGGCCCAGATGAAGTTTCACCATGGATCCTAAATGTATACCTAAGTTCAGCTTTCCACTTCAACTGATTTTTCAGGCATCCCTGTGTACAGGAGCCCTAGCAGATATGTGGAAAACGGCTATCTTCTTGAGGTTATCTTGAGATGATTTCGGGGCTTTTTAGTGTCCCCGCGGCCCGGTCCTCGACCAGGCCTCCACCCCCAGGAAGCAGCCCGTGACAGCTGACTAACACCCAGGTACCTATGTTACTGCTAGGTAACAGGGGCATAGGGTGAAAGAAACTCTGCCCATTGTTTCTCACCGGCGCCTGGAATCGAACCCAGGACCACAGGATTGCAAGTCCAGCGTGCTGTCCGCTCGGCCGACTGGCTCCCTAACATAGTTCCAATCTACAAAAGTGGCAGCAGGGAAGATCCCCTTAATTATAGACCTGTATTACTGACAAGTGGAAGTGGTTATCTTCTTCTTGAGGTTATCTTGAGATGATTTCGGGGCTTAGCGTCCCTGTGGCCCGGTCCTTGACCATGTCTTCATGGGAAATTCCTACATGTTTTTCCTTCTCAGTGGGGAGTTAACTTCAAGACACCACAAGGGGTTGGCTACTCCCAGAAAACCAGAATTAATTGTAATGAAATGCCTATTTCTGGGTGAGCCCCAGTGGATCCCCAATTATTCCCCACCCTTCCTTCCAGGTAATCAAGTGGGTCTCTTGTTTGTGCATCTGCACCAGAACTGACAGCTCAGTCCACTAGAGGGGTTGAGCCCCTTTTTCCCCTCCCAATAAATGAGCAGAGGAGCTGGGGTGAATGAGCTCATGCTGGTTTTGAGAGATTCGATACTTTGTTTACATAGTTGGGGGGAGTTCATTAGGTGGGTTGTGTGGCTTTGGTCTCTTTTTGAACACAGCAGTGGTTTGTTGTGACTGGCAAACTTTGTAGGCGCCTTCCCCGGTAAGCTAGCAAAATATCACTGTTCCCTGCACTTATATAAAGTGTGGGGGGGTGGGGAGGGGGGGGGCGGGGCAAGGTTCTAGCTCTGGTGCCTGATAGGCCTATGAACCATCTTAGAGTGAAGCTTCACGGTGCCAAAAGGGCTCGCCCAGAAACCAAATTATGACCAGAACTCTGGTATGAGATGAATGCATTTGAGTACTCTCCAGTATTCCCATAGAGGTGACATATGATAACATTTGAGACTGGGGTTGGTACCTATATTAAAAATAGTGTAGAAAATTGTCAATAGCATGCAAACACCTTCAACAACAAACAAAGTAGAACTTACTTCATCATATTGCCAAGGACCATTTACTGTACCCAGACGACAGAACATGAGCTTGATGCCTTGGCCATCGGCATCAATGCAACGCTCCCCCACACTTAGTTGACCTTCCGCATTTAGCCGTATTAGCTGTTAATGAGTAAACAAATTAGCAACTAAAATCAAGCACTGGACGTAATGAAATTTCTTTTTTCTAGTGGACCCCCAGTAGCTCCTTGAACACAGAATTGAACTTTTAAGCATACTAGGAGGCACAACAGCAATGTCTTTTTTTCTAGTGGACCCCCAGTAGCGCCTTGAACACAGAATTGAACTTTTAAGCATACTAGGAGGCACAACAGCAATGTCTTTTTTTCTAGTGGACCCCCAGTAGCGCCTTGAACACAGAATTGAACTTTTAAGCATACTAGGAGGCACAACAGCAATGTCTTTTTTTCTAGTGGACCCCCAGTAGCGCCTTGAACACAGAATTGAACTTTTAAGCATACTAGGAGGCACAACAGCAATGTCTTTTTTTCTAGTGGACCCCCAGTAGCGCCTTGAACACAGAATTGAACTTTTAAGCATACTAGGAGGCACAACAGCAATGTCTTTTTTTCTAGTGGACCCCCAGTAGCTCCTTGAACACAGAATTGAACTTTTAAGCATACTAGGAGGCACAACAGCAATGTCTTTTTTTCTAGTGGACCCCCAGTAGCGCCTTGAACACAGAATTGAACTTTTAAGCATACTAGGAGGCACAACAGCAATGTCTTTTTTTCTAGTGGACCCCCAGTAGCGCCTTGAACACAGAATTGAACTTTTAAGCATACTAGGAGGCACAACAGCAATGTCTTTTTTTCTAGTGGACCCCCAGTAGCTCCTTGAACACAGAATTGAACTTTTAAGCATACTAGGAGGCACAACAGCAATGTCTTTTTTTCTAGTGGACCCCCAGTAGCGCCTTGAACACAAAGCTGGACTAACCATACATACTAGGAGACATAACCACAATTCCTTTTCCTTTTTAGTGTGGTTTGACTGCATTTTATATGTGGTTTCTGCTTTGATGTTTCTGTTTCTTTCCGTAGCATAGTAATTGGAACTTATCATCATTAAACATCATGGTATTTTCTGTAGCCCATTGAAAAACATGATTAACATCAGATTGGAGGTTTGTTGTATCCTCTATATTGTCTACTCGCATGAAAATCCTTGCGTCATCTGCAGAGGATGATACATTACTCAAGTTTGTATCCTTGTCTATGTCTGACATGAGGATCAGAAAAGTACTAGAGCAAGCACAGTACCCTGGGGAGACTGAGCTTTTCATGGTGGATGATTCAGATTTTACTGTGTTGACTATTGCTCTGGGTTGTGTTGTTAGAGTATTTAATGCCCATCTCCCCACTTAGCCGGTAATTCCTTTTGTGCGCATTTTGTCTGCAATAACACAATGGTCACATGTGTCGAAAGCTTTTGCAAAGTCTATGTACATTGCATCTGTGTGTTGTTTGTCTTCCATGGTTACCTTACCTTGAGGTGTTTTCGGGGCTTAGCGTCCCCGTGGCCCAGTCGTCAACCTGGCCTCCCAAGTACCTAAGGGTATTTCATAGTGGTCTAGGAATTGTGAGAGGCAGGAGCGCCCTGTTCTGAACCCGCGTTGCCCGGGGTTATGTAGACACTGTGATTCCATGTGTTTCATAATCTTATTTCTTAGCTCTCTTTCAAAGATTTTTATGATGCGTGATGTTAGAGCGATAATTGTTTGCATCAGGTTTACTACCTCCTCTGTGAAATGGCACAATCTCTGTTGTTTTAAAAATGTTAGAGATAGCATCAGTGTCTAGGCACCATCTCCAGAAGATGATTAGGGCCTGTGGTAGTGACATGAATAAATTCATAAAAAATTTGATCACACATGCTACTGCATGCAGGCGATGAGTCACAATAACGTGGCTGAAGTATGTTGACCAGACCACACACTAGAAATTGAAGGGACGACGACGTTTCGGTCCGTCCTGGACCATTCTCAAGTCGATTGTGCTACTGATGCTACTGCATCTCTCTAGAAGAGGCCAGGTTCTGGCTTGTGGTCCCCTGGTAGACCTAAATGAATCCATGACTGATGGCACCTAGTAGTTTGGCACTATATCAGCATAGTAGCTTCAGGGGGACCACAAAGGCTCCACCCAGAAAATTTAATTCTTAAATTTTTCAGAACCAAAATTCAATTTAGCAGATTTTGATTTTTTTTTGTTAGCAGTTTATTTATTTTTTTTTTTTTTGGGGGGGGGGGGGCAAATTTGGATTTTCTTTCTTGGTGGATTCCGATTTTTTTCTTGATGGATTTGGATATTTTGTTGGCGGATTTGGAATTTTGTTTGAAACATAATTGAAACAAAATAAACCTAACCTCAAGAAAACTACTGTACTGTTTTAGGGATACCAACACCACTTGGTAAAAATCATGAAACGGTAGGTAGAGCCCAGCACAGCAATGCGAACCCCAACACACACCAGGAAAGTGATTACAGTGGGCGACTGGCACGGATCCTGGGTGACCTGACCAACCACCTGGTGGTGGTCAGGTGCATCACCATTAGGGTAACTTGCCTATGGCAATGATCGTTTGCCTTGTTTACCTTGGGGTTCATATATAAATACAACCAGGTTATTGCAGATGAAGAGTCACAATAACGTGGCTGAAAAATGTTGACCAAACCCCACACTAGAAATTGAAGAGATGACGACGTTTCAGTCCGTCCTGGATCAAAACATCGTCGTCTCGTCAATTTCTAGTGGTGGTTTGATCAACAACCAGGTAATTGTTATATTGCACCTGTTCTTTCTGGCGAGTTATTTGCTTGGTTTTGACTTCAACTCCGATTCTCAGGCTCCCTAAACCTTATAGAGCCAGATTCTGGCCCTGGCTCCTGTAGGTCAGGATGGGTTCCACAGACATGGTGTGATCTCCTAGGGCTTCACAATACCAGTGCTACCTTGAGAGGTTACCTTGAGATGATTCTGGGGCTTAGCGTCCCCGTGGCCCAGTCCTCAACCAAGCCTCCTTCAAAGCACTGAGCACCTATCTTGTGCTCAGGTAGCTACTGAGGGGGTCCTCCAAAAAGTGAGTTTCTACAGGAAATTAATTAGAAAAGTGATCAAATTAACATTGGAAATATAAACTCTGCTTAGTTAATGCTACTTCCTTTTTTTTGAAGATGGTAATAGTTCTTTGTCAGAAACTGTGATAATGAAGAAAACGTATTCTTTAAAATTGCTAAATGCATTACACATCCTTAACATTAAAGTTTCAAAACTCCTCAAAAGCTCTGATGCAACAAAATATACATAAAGAACAAAATTTGATGTAGAAAAACCCGCTTTTTTTCTATCCACCCAAATCAAGCTTAAAACTTTAAAATTATTGATAAAAAATGTACAGAAGGAAGCATCATAAATGCAAGACTTACTTGATTGTTGCCGAAACCGTGACAATGAGAGATACCCATGAGACTCGGAGCAGCATGACCCATAGTGTCGAGACACTGGTTACTAACAGCATTACGCAGCTGTAGGTAGTTTGTAAAAAGTGTCATTTATCTTGTATATTGAAAAAGGTAAATCCTGGCAGATGTAGGGAACCCTTAGACACACAGTAAAAGAGAAATGAAATGGAAAGAACAACACAAAAAAAGAGTGAGGTGCTTAACAATGGAAAAATTAATAAATTTTAACAACCGAGATTAGAAGAACCACCACCAATCAAAATCACACATACATGCTCCTTAAGTCTAAATAGTGTGGGCTTAAACTAATTAATAATAATTACTGTACATTGTCTGATGCACAACCCCCCCCCCCAATTTTTTTTATGCTGTTAAGATGATTTCGGGGCTTTGGTGACCCCGCAGCCCGGTCCTTGACCAGGCCTCCACCCCCAGGAAGCAGCCCGTGACAGCTGACTAACACCCAGGTACCTATTTTACTGCTAGGTAACAAAGGCATAGGGTGAAAGAAACTCTGCCCATTGTTTCTCGACGGCGCCCGGGATCGAACCCGGGACCACAGGATCACAAATCCAGCGTGCTGTCCGCTCGGCCGACCGGCTCGGGTACGCACCCGGCCAACTGACAGTCGGCCGGGTACACATCAGTGGAGAACTGATGGTGGTGCAGCTTGTGAGCCACGTCCTGTCACCTCCCCCCCCCCCAAAAAAAATGAAGAGGGTGGAGCGAACAAGCGGGCGCTAGATTTATGAGATTCTTAATCATCTGTTTACATATTTTGGAGAGTTCTATGGGCACTTTCGAGGCTGCAGGTCTCGGAGGCAGCCAGCTGTAGTTTCTTTTGACTTGCTGACCGTCTAGGTGCCTTCCTCGGTGGTTGCATAAATGAAGAACTTGATATAAAAATACCACAGCTCCATGCACCAGTAAGGGGGCCAGGCTCTGGCTCTTGGTCCCTAGTATGATATAGAATTCTGTGACTGATGGCACCTACATTGGAGATGGTAGCTTCGGGAAGCCACAAGGGGTTCCCCTCAGAAAGGAAGGTGGCAAAATTGAACACAGCTCACCTAAGTGGTAATAAGTCACACCATGGCATTATGAAGAGTAAGGATGTTGCAGAGACCTTGTGAGGTAGCAAAGGCAGTAATGATCACGATGATCCTGTAGAGACAGGATGCCAGTTTCAACATACAAGCTCTGTAGTAGGGGACGAATGAAAGGCACGAGAACTGGGCTGTAACCCAGTATGGTGCAGAGCATCACAACGATGATGGGTTGAAGGAGAAGGTGGGTAGGCAGGGCAGCCATAGTCGAGTTTAAACAACACGAGAGAGGAGTGTTCATCTATCAGCTCCCCAGGAAGTAAGGGACAAGACTGAGTCAGATAAAAACCTTAGAGCATTCAACTTAAAGGTGAGAGATGTTACCGACCAAGACAAATGAATGTCAAAGATCAACCCCAAATGTTTACCTGAAGCTTTATACAGAAGGGGACTACCATAGCATGACAATGGCGGGTGAAGAACGATCTGCTTCCGAGCAAGAGTCATAGCACACCTTAGTCTTAAGAGAACTTGAAGCTATGTCTGGTGGCCCAGGGCAACAGTATTAATTGCAAGTTGGAGCTGGTGTTGGAGGAAAGGGAAGTCATCACTTCAACAGCAGAAAGTGAGATCTTTAACATAAAGGGTCGAGAAAATGCCAGAGGGATGGGACCAAACCTTCCAGTATTTATGGCAATATTTTGAGATATTTCCTTCGTCACTATTTCGAGGAGTACAAGTTCAGTGCTCCAAAGCAATCTCAGTAGTTGAAAGCATTAAGTTATTTAAATCATCCTATGCAGGCAGTAAAGGATGCCTGTATAATTTCAGGCTTTGATATCTTGCCTACCCTGAAAAACTAAATAATATTCTATAGTAGATAATGCCAGTGCTTTGCAAAGTTCAGTATCATCATTAATGCAGCATCCCTTGTTTTGAATGTTCTCATTATCTTTTTCCTCACTGTTGCAATGTTTGCTTCATTGTGATAATATAAATGTAAGGTTTTCTGACATTATTCAGAATCTTTGACTTCTTCATACTATTCTATGAGATCTGACTGCCTTCTATGCCTTTTACCATCATCATTTTTCCACACGTAACTTAAATTTATCACTGTTGAATGTCTATTTTTTTCCCCTATTGCCCACTGAAAATTTTTATTGATATTTTATCATAATTTTGGTGCCTTCCATCGAGACAATTTTCATTCCTATTATGGTGTCGGCAGCAAAAGCTGACACAAAATTTGGGATTATATTCCTGACAATATCTTCTATGGGGCTGAGAAAGAGTAACAGTGCAAGGACCACATGCTCGGTTGACCCAAACGTGTACCAACAAATATCGTTAGTCGACGTCTAACATCTTTTAGAACCGAGCTTTGTATCATACTCTGGATGGATTTTGTTTGATCTACCGTCACTTTCTGCAATCTGCTTTAGACAATTTAAACTTCACCTCCCTACTTTGCCTGTTGTTCCCCTAGCTGTTGGAGGACTTACTTTTCCCATTTAGTGATAACTGCTAAAGCAAATATTAGTTGCTTATTTTGAGCATTTTGGTACTGTATTTTCTGAGCTTTGTGATCTTGTAGGAATTAAAGAAACATCATTTGTATAGGGAAATACAGTGACATTAAGAAGTGCTTCACCACAGCTGAGCAAGGTAGCCTCTGTATCACTTTCATTACTCAGGCAAGAAAAACCAAAGGCTGGGACAGGAAGCAACAGAGAAAATGCTTAGAAAGAAGAGTTGCATTCCACTCGACACCTTATTCTTGAGCATGGCCCCCTAGGGTGCTCTCCTAGCCAGGCCCCCACGTTGCAAGAAGAAAAGTAAAAGGGACTTTTTCTGAGAAAGCACAGAGCAAGACAGCCCAGCAAATTGCACAGGTAACTAAAAACGAAGATGGTTTCAACATTACCTGACTAGCGTGACTGCCAAAGGCATCCCCCATACAAGGGTACATCTCCAATATTAACCGACCAGGTCCACCACCACCAAAGGAATCCCCCATACATGGGTACATCTCCAACATTACCTGACTAGTGTCACCACCAAAGGCATCCCCCATACAGGGGTACGTCTCCAACACAGCTGGTGCATCCCGGCCAACAGTGTCCCAACAAAAGTCACCAACAAGACTGCGCAGCTATTGGTCAATGTGAGATATTTATTATGTTCTTAAATGTACAGTTTGTACACTAACTATTCAAAATTGATACAAAAATACAGAACAATTTTATTTATAATGATACAAAATTACAGTACTGTACTGCATTTTACAAAATAAACGTTTACATCATGTTGTAAAATATGAAAAAATTTGGTATCGTATACCAAAAAATAATACACAACAGTGAGAGTGTATATATATATATTTCTGCAACAATTGCAACTGCATGCAGCACCACCAGTGCCCATGGTGGTCGCCCTGAAAGCTGTCAATTGATGGAAAATATATGCGAGAGCAGCTGCCGAGAAAGTACCCTTGCTGTACCTCAAGTGGAGAAGAGGTGTTACACCACACCAGTCTCCAGATGAGCATACAGGTAGCTCCCATCATTGGGTTGTCAGACTTATCTTGAGGTTATCTTGAGATGATTTCGGGGCTTTACTGTCCCTGCGGCCCGGTCCTCGACCAGGCCTCCACCCCCAGGAAGCAGCCTGTGACAGCTGATCAACACCCAGGTACCTATTTTGCTGCTAGGTAACAGGGGCATAGGGTGAAAGAAACTCTGCCCATTGTTTCTCGCCAGCGCCTGGGATCGTACCCGGGACCACAGGATCACAAGTCCAACGTGCTGTCCGCTCGGCCGACTTGCTCCAATCCTTAACCGCTATTCCAGAGAAATGACTACAAAGAGTTTTCACACACAACAGCAACTAAAAAGGCGTTGAATGTAATGAAACACCAATTTCTGGGCGAGCTTCTTGTGGCTCCCTGAAGCTATTACACTAATTTCAGTGGCATACTACTAGGTGCCATCAGTCGTGGAGTTCTTATTGGTCTATCGGGGACCATGAGCCAGAATCTGGCCCCCCCTCAGAGAGCTGCAGGGATTGGAGGCACTATGAACACCTTACATTTAAAGTTATTCATGTCTGTCAACACCAAGGAAAAGCACCCAGAAATTCAGCAAAACAAAACAGCATGGTTTTGAACAAAACCACAACCTCAAAACTGCCAAAAGAACTCCCCTAACAATGGAAACAAATGACCAAAATGTTGTGAAACTAGCACAAGCTGGTTCGCTCCACCTACCATCCTCGTTCCGGTGAGGAGAGGCCGCTTCACCACCAGTTCTCATGATGATGATGATGGAAACACCCCGATGCCCTGGGAGCGGGAGAATGTCAGGGAGCCACTGGGGCTCACCCAGAAATTGGCATATCATTACATTCAATGCTGGTTTTCTGGAGAAGGGGGAAGGGAAGGGCTTCCACAAAGGGAAGCCCTTTGTGGCTCCCTGAAGCTAACTACCCACTGAGAAGGAAAAAAATGAGGCACTAGGGAGGAGACAGCACTGCAGGTATCAGAGTGAGGAAGAGACCACTGACCACAACACATGACCCAAGGCCACACAAGGCCGCAGAGGACTAGAAACATTCACAAGATACCTGGCTGCCAGGACCCTATTCAACTGCCAAAACCCCCCATGCCTGAATATCCGCCCAAGACATGTTAGCAAACATGACCATCAGAGCAGTATACTTACAGAGATCATACACACAAGGGTAGACCACAGGCCGGCTTGACTTAAATGACACTGTGGATGGCCTGAGAAATACGAGCCCTGAACAGGGAACTAGGATCAACAAAGTCCACCACAGCAGAATCTGTGGCATGAAGGTAGTGGCAACAAGCCACCACCGGACAAAGCACACAATACACCCCCGGCCGAACCAACCACAAATCCACCACCAAAGAACCCCTCTGGAAATCAGCAGACTCATTCTTCACCAGAAAAGAAATAGCCGCCTGCTAGGCTAGGCTAGGCTAACTAGCTAGGG